TCATTTAAAACTAGAAAATGCATTTCCTGCTGAAAATGCATTGGAATGCAAAAAGCTGAACTGATTTTTTTTAAATAGCTGAAAATACAGAAAGTTGAAGGGAATTTGAATACATTTGCTGAAATGACAGATATTAGAAAAGCTGAAATTTGAAATTGCTGAAAATACAGATATGGGAGAAGCTGCATGGAATTTCAATAGATTTGCTGAAAAAGCAGAAATGAAAACAGCTGAAATAAATGTGAAATCTTGCAAAATACAGAAATGATTAAAACATTGCTGTTAATAGAGGCATAAGAAAAGCTGAAATTATTTTAAAGAATTGCTGAAAATGAAGTGAAGTGTGGAAGCTGAATTTCAATAGATTTTCTAAAAAAAAATACAGAAGTTGCAGGAGCTTAAATGAATTTTTAAAAATCCAGAAATAACAAAAGCTGAGATGAATAAAAAAAGGTTTAAAATAGTTTGTGGTATTAGTAGTACTAGCTGTAGAAGTAGGTTTAGTATCAATAGCAGTAGAAACAGCTGTAATACTAATAGCCATAGTAGTAGTTGTATTAATAGCAGTAGAAGTACTAGTAGTATGGTAGTAGAAGTATCAGTTGTAGTACTACTAGAAGTACTAGTAACATGCTTAGTGGTTGTAGTAGTATTTGAAAGAGCAATACGTATTTCAATGAAACCGCTTCATGGTTAAGGTACAGATAATCATTGAGGCTTTTATTTTGTAATGATGGAATTGGGTGAGGGGGGTTGGGAGACAGAATGTTTGTTATTCAAACTAAGAAGTTTTTAATTAATAGGCCTCATCACAAACATTACAGTAAGAATTCCCTCCATGGGGCTTTTATTTGGAAATTTATTGGATTGGGTGGGGGTGGGGGGGGTGTAGATAGAGAGAGGGAGGGTGAGAGGGTGAGGAAGGGAGGGGTGGTGAGGAAGAGATAGAGAGGAGGAGAAATAGACAGACTGACTGAGTGAGTGAGTCATTAACAGTGAGAAGAGGTCAGGGTGGAGGGGGGAGGGGGGGAGAGTGTCTTTATCATATTGGTCTGTTGACAGAGCATAGCTGCGTCATGTGACTCCACTAATCAGGTCATAGGAGCAGCTGTGAGTCAGACAGATCCTGTAGCGTGTGAGCGAGTAACCACGGCAACGACGCACCTGTGCTCATTAACGAGCTGCTGCAAAAGGCAGACACAGGACAGCGAGTTACACAGAATCCACACTTCAAACAAATGACCACCAGCGCAAAACTATAACAGCTATCTAAAAAATACAATGTTTTTACGAGACCCAGGACTCTACCGAACGCATGGATGCGTTTTTTAGGTCTGTCCGGTAATAAATACGGCTCCTGTCGCAGTTTACAAAACGTGTACCTTCTGGATTTTGTGAGAAATATGTCGGCAGATTTTTATTGGAGCCTATGGGGCTTTTGTCAGAGGTTGTGTCACTAACACTCCTTAAGCCAAAACTAAAGAACTCTGGGATTCCATGAACACATTAATCCAATCAGCACAACCATGCCATCATTAATCCAAAGAAATGAAGCCTCAAAAGTGCATACTTTGGCTCTGAGGACAGAAGTTTCATATTTTTTTAACCAGATTCTGACGCTGCCCCACACACTAGCCCTCGAGGTCTCTCTAGCAGACGCAATACACTCATGTAAAAGAAACGGAGCGAAGAACTAGTGAAACATAATCAGTGATTAGGAAAAAAGTAGAATAGATAAACAAGCTGCTTAATGCATTCCAACAATAAGTTGATTAAAGATTCGAAGAACAATAGTTTGAATGCTTAATGCATTTCAAGAATTAAACAACGTTGTCTAAAATAAAGGCTAACGTAATTGCTCATTACTTACTAATTAATGAATTTCAAAATGTGCAAATAATTAGTTTATTTTTAATCTATTGACAGCCCTAGCATCAATGCAAGTATAACAGAAAATCTGCTATTATGTAAAGGTTTTTGTTATGTCAGTGAACTCCAAATCTGGCGACTGTTTATACCAACACTGGATGGCAGCACAGAGCTATTGTTCATCATGAATGTGTTGGCATCGTGTCTGCAGTAATGCATAGTAATACAACTTTAAAACTTTTGTCCTTGTTAACTCTGACATACGGTACTGTTTTGGAAATGTTGAAAATGTGGTGCAATGATAAAATCAGATACGTTTGGGTTCATATATATATAATATGTTATTCAATACAGTTTATTTTGTATCTCCCCAAATCAGATAAGAAATGACCTCAGAGGCTTTACAAAATCTATACACATGTGACATTATCTGTTCGGAAACCCTCACATCGGCACAGGAACACAGAAGAGCTGCATTAGGCATAAGAGCATATCGTTTATCTGCCGTGTGACAGAATGTAATAGTTGTATATTTTGTTGACGCATTGCAGCATAAAATAAACAACGATAAGAATCAAATGATCTCCTGTCATTCGAGGAGGAAAATTAAGTCACGCGTCTGCAGCGTAATACGGCTCAATGACAAAGAACACCGAAGCAACGCCGCCACGCCCTCTGTTTACAACTTGGAACTGCTGATAGCAGACGGGCAGCGCACGTACAGCGCCGGTGGCCGAAGAGAGACGTGCTGCTCGGCATGGTGGCTTCGCTAGCAGTCGCCCTCTGATGGGGTTTCTGCAGTGGCTTCGGGTCTTTGTTTGTCGTAACTCATGATGCACTTTTCGATATGTAGCCAAGCACGGTTAAATCTACACTTCCCTTGCAAAGGATGATTCCTGAGCTACCGAACTTTTCAGTCAAGACGTGTTTACACAGCCGCGGTGCGAATTATTTGCGCTGCGAATATCCTGCGTCTCTTTAAAACCATATGAATGCTTTCAAACGTAATCTTCGATGAACCACAGGACCATAGAAATAACAAATTTCCATGACTTTTCCAAAACGTTTAGGATTTTATTTCTTTCCATGACTTTTCCAGGCCTGGAAATGACCATTTTGAAATTCCATGACTTTTCCAGGTTTTCCCATGACCGTACGAACCCTGATAGATAAAACTGATGGATTCTGTTCATAATTACCTTTCCTTCTTTTGATTACGTTCATTTACAGTCTTTCAGTTTTTATGTTACTGTTGTTTTGGTTTTAGAATATAAATTCATTCAGATTTTAAATATGTAAAGGTGTCTAGCATTTATTTTTTTTGTCAAAAAGTCCTCCGGGAGTTACTGTCAATACATGGCGCGTTGCCCACTCCATGCATTGCACGTGTTGACCAGTCAGTGGTCTACTTTGAAAAATACCCATACACTTGACATTATTTTGGATGATGACTAAAAAGGACACCATGTTTTTTTCATAACAATTGGATCCATCAATTTGGCTGAATGGACGCATGCAATAAAATGATATTGGCTGTTGTAACACTCCAATGTAGGTTTAGTTTGCTAGATTAATATGCTTAACTCTGGGCTAGTATCAGATGGTTTTACGTAGAACTACAGAGCCTTAAGGAATGAATATCAGAGAAAGAACACACAATAAAGAAACTGGAATCCGAGGGTAGAATTAATATGAGCTATATTGTAGAAATGAACAGAACATACGATGGGGTATGAACATCAGTGGTATCAAAAGTGTAGCATGCTGGATGTGATTGTGTGTAGGGGGGTGGAAGGTGCATAACGAAACAAGTTGTGTCACCAGTCAGTGGTTTCCCTCTTTTTTCTCCCTGAGCTTTTCCACCTTTTGAAGGATTTACGTTTTGGTGCTGGCCTGCATTCCAAAACAGCTTTGTTTGCGAACAACGATCCAAGTGTCGAGTAGGCTAGAGCAATGGTTTAAACCCAATCACAGAGGGCCAACATTTATAACTGGGACTATACAACTTTGATACGATATGTCTCGCCATTATTTCTTTTCAAAAAAATTATCCATGTTTATAATGTATTATACCTGTAAGCCATTTGATATATGTGACGAGCTGATTGATGGGCGGGTTGAGCCTATATAGGGGAGGAACCTATGGGGGCTCGTCAGGTGTTTCCAACCAGAATAGCCAGTTTTTGACCGCACATGCTGAGTAGTGCTACGTTACACACGCTGGGTGGATGGTTGTAAACTGTATGATGAGAAGGATGGAGAAAAGGGACTAAACAGAACAAAGGCTACAGGACTGTCATTCATCCGAGACGAACAGTGGCGCGTCAATTAGGGCTGTCGGACGAAATGCCTCAGTGGCTTAAAGCGTAGGCTTAGCCTCTACAATACAAATGCAACCCCCTAAAGCTAAAAACACAAACCGTTCAGAAGAGTGCATTGTCGTGGACATGGGCAGCGCCACCTCATTAGTTATTAAACGTACAAGGTCTTCCTGGCCTACTATGTCAGTATGTTACGGTCGGCCTAATGTTCCAAAGAGTGAAAAATTCTTACTACTGTAGAAAAACAGCGTATTTATGTATTATTATACTTGCAAGCAAAAGACTTATTTGAGAACATACAAATATCAAAGGTTTTTATGGCAGCAGGCATAAATAAAAAGGTAGGGGGCTTCCGGCGAAAAACAATTGCTGGCAGTCAACCTTGAATGTAGACTGCCATCTTTGGAGATTATGAACATTGACACAAACATTTTGATCATCCGATGACCCAGAACCCAACGTGCCTCTTAGTGAAGGAGCGTTTTCCAAGAGAGAAATTAAAGTAGCCATGCACAGACTGAACGCACTCATTGTGAAAAAATAAAAAACCTCTCCTCTCTAAACCTTAACCATAACTTCAGCGAAAAAATACATATTTTCTGAAAAAAGTGGTAGGTTTTCTCATGACCGAGTGTTTTTACATGGCACTACCTTTTTACCTTTGTTAGCTTCATCCAGTCTCTGAAGCATTAGTTCAACCTTTAAAAGCCATAAGGCAGTAATCAGGCACACCTTTAAGAAACATGCACACATGTGACAGTTGAGATCATGAAAACATGCATGATGCTAGGAGAGAGGACTGACTGGTTTTAGGTATGGAGGGAGGAGGAGGAAGCTGACATAGGACAAACTAGACTTGAACACACCTGACAGCTGTCTGCAGTGGGGCTTTCAGCACATAGAAAGGACAGGCTTCCATGAACATGGCTAAACTCTCCCTCACAGATGTGGCCCTGCTGCTTCTGCTAGTACTGGCCTTGGTGAGTATTTGCCATAAGACTACTTAATTTCCTTTTGGCTCACTAGAACATATTGTAAGATTTTGTTCATTTGTTCATCATTTAAGTGGGCATCATTTAATGGGTGCAGTCTTTGGTACGGAGCAAAATGGTACTAACCTGACACGTGAAAGATTAGGTTCATTAAAGTATATCGATCCAACATCATATAGAATTATGATTTTGTCACAACTTCACAACCAAAGTTCTTGATGAATCTGACAGTAATTTCACCACTGGCAGGCCTTGATGTAGGAACAATTTAAGATGGGAAGAAACCTTTTTGTGAGTCAATCTTCTGCTGGACGGGATTTTCTTTTCTTCAGATCCTTGGTGTAAATTATAAAGTTAGCGTTATTGGATTTCCGGCTGTTCATTTTGGCTGTCAAGTTAGTGTCTGCGGTGGCAGGGGTTGCAAATCTGTCTTTTTTTATACTTTTACCGTTACTGTCATGAGTAACCGAGTGACCTAAAAGAAACAAACAAAAATCTATCATTATTTTCATAATTTACTCCAGGGATTGGCCAATAGTCCAACAGGCGCATGTCTGACGTGAAACCCACCTTCTAAGTAAATAAATGTCACCCTTCAGGAATGTTCCAACAAACATGACTATATCTAATCATTCAGTGTATTAGTTACTTTATAACGTCTGCATTAAAGATCTTTCAAAGATAGCATTGTATTGGCAATAATGGTGATATTTAAAATATGAATATATTCATTTTGTAACACACATGATGAAATTGGATAAATGGCTGCTCTTAAATAAAATGTATGCAAATATGGTTACTAACGTTCGGTCCACATCTCAACACTGGTACTGTATATTGAGAAATGTTAACAAAGTTAACTAAATTAATTAAATCAAAGAATGATTATTATTATTTAAAATACAATGGTTATTTAAAATCACTGTATATAGTGCCGTATCTTTCACGTGTAGGAAAGTCAACTCCTTAAGTCCTTCATGGTTCCTGGGACCTGGGAGAGTTCCTCCCCTAAAATAGATGATCCCTAGAAACAGTGTTCTGATAAATACAATTGTTAAATAATAAAGGGGGTTCTCAGAACTATGAAAAACCTGTTTGCTTTCAGATGCTGAGTGCTGAGGCGAGAGAAAACACGCCAAGGACGCTTAGGAGGATAAAGAGAGAGTGGATCCTTCCTCCTAGCAAGCTGTGGGAGAACATTGACTACACCGGCAAGGATTTTATTGCCAAGGTCATTGGGTGTTTGTCATTTAAACCTTTTCTCTTAACTTGCCTATGTCGGCTCCAGAATGTGTCAAGTAATTTCATTCCATTGGCTGGTCTGCCAATAACCCTGCAGCACTAAACCTGTTTGACAGCTATCTCAGTGAGTTCTCGTCTTCAGTTGTATCACTGAGGGAATATGTTCCTGGGCTAAAATCAGATATACAGGGCCTTATGAGATAACGCTTTTGCGCCCACGTCATGCAAATTTGATTTGCAATATGTGCGTAAAAGCATGGCGAGGTATGTACAAACAAGCCGCAGTGAGGTTTAAAGCGCAGTCTACCTGTCGTGGGAACGAAAAAGGCAAATTGCACTACGTGTCATGCATATGCATTAATAGGAGGGTCAAGTTTCCCATAAACAGATGGGAGGGGATGCATAAAGTGCGTGAATCATGTATTCCGTGGTATGTACAGAAGCTGCATGTGAAAGCATGCCTCCGTTTTGCGGTGAAAATTCTTCGCTTCTTAAAAGTATTTGTGAACCAGAATGCGTGTTTCCTCCCATATTCTTCCTGGTGAAATGACGGCAGTAATCTGAGCCAGACGGCATCATAGGCCAAAGAGACAAATAGAAAGGATTTTTGCCACAAGGATCACTTTTCCAGTTGAGTGAACAGAAAATTATTACGCATTGCAGAATAAGCAGCCATGCAACATTACAGTTACTGGAAGAAATCAAATATGACATTGCATCTCAGACTCCGCGTTCTCCTTCCATTCCAGCAGTTAAACTCCGCTACATTATAATTATTGGCATCAGGTTAATTTCAAACAGTCAGAGCATCAGCAGTGGGAATAATGCAGTCTGCACTCAGCCGTATCACAGCACCAGTACGCAACGCTTTGCGACAGTACACTAGTCAATACATACATTTTCCCACCACTATTACCCAAATAACACGTTAACTTTGTCGTCGCTGAATTTTTATTTTTGCGGTTTTGACTTTGGCTGATCCATGATAGAAAGAGGAGGCCCATACACTTTTAAATGCTTGAAATAGTATAGTGGGCGGAGAAAGGCGCTGATTACCTGATGAGCTTCAGGTTTCGTAAATGCGATGTAAGCTGAAGTATCACAGCAAGCACTATTGGCATGTTTTCCGTGGCGCTGATAACGGTTTGCAAATGTACATACATGAGGCCTTCAGTGTCTTATAATGGTGAGCCGGAAGACAATTAAGAGGCCACTTGATCTGAAAACAGCTAAGAGCGACTTTATGCATGACGTGGATCAAGTGGCTCTAAATGAAAAGGTCACTACTTCCATCGCAAGGTTTCATAAAACAAACAACTGAACTTCATTCATCCAGTGATTCCACAAAGCAATATAGTTCTTCAGCCTCCTACAGCAAAGTGGTGTCTAGAGACACACAGGCGCAGCAAAAAGCGAGCAGGCATAAAACGTTAGGGGTGATTATTGACATTTAACTGGATGTCAGTATTCATTGAGCAGTCTTCAAAGTCATTTTGTTAGCATTCTTCTTTGCTAGTAAGTAAATCTACTTAAACAATTAAAAAAGACTGTACATGTATTCCCATTTGCAATTTAGTCAGGCAATGTCAGGCAAGCATTCTATAGTTATATTGAATACTACTGCGGGCATGGTGGTGTAATTCATAAAAGTGGTTGAAACAGTGAAGCGTTAATAAAAAATCCACATTCTGACTGTTCCCTTTTCTAGGCTGTGAGGCCTTCACAAAAGCCTCCTCTAGAGTAGTAATCCTGACTATCAAGTGAAACTTTTACACGTATACTGTCCATACACTGGGCTCATGTGGATGTGCTTTTAGTCTGGTATCTTCCATGTTTTACAGGTTTACATGGCTGTTTTTTGTTATATTGCTTTATTTCGTCACCAGTAACCCATAAACTGATTTGTACACATCAGAATACTCACAGGGGTTCCCCTTTACTCCTACAGAAGGAAAATGTGGTAGTTAAACTTTTCATCATGGTATGCCATTTCTGGAGCAGAGCCCCAGGGTGCACAGCACACAGCAATAATCCCCAGTGTGTGTTTTACTGACAGATTCGCTCTGACAAGGACACAACGGCAGAAGTGCAATATTCTCTCTCTGGGCCAGGAGCTGATTCACCACCCATCAACCTCTTCATGGTGGATCCTGACACAGGGTTTGTAACCATCACAGGTGTTCTGGACCGGGAAAAATACCCATCCTACAATGTAAGTCTCTTTAAAAAAGTTCCAGGCCTCGTGATTTACTGTGAGGACTGAAACCTGTTCAGGACTCAGCGTCTCTCCTAATGTTTTACGACATTAATATGGATTAGATCAAAACAACGCTACAAGTCAATGTTGTCAGACTTGACTGGCGGGCTGCAGTTGTTATTGGTGTAAAACTGGCCTGAAAAGCCTGAGGTTCATTGTGTGTCTTTTGAAGCTAATTGCCATTATTTAGGTAGCATGACCACGCCTCCGATACCCCCATAATTATAAAATAACGCATTCCAAACCAAGACCGAGGGAAGGTAACACATGATCGAACTTCAGTAGTCTACTAAAGACTACCTTACCCAAGTTACCTAGCCAGCCTCTGGCACAGAGATGCCGTCGCACTTTCCCCTTCAGATGCTGACGACAATCTCTCCAGAAGAGACCAAACAACACTAAAGGAAAGCGGAATACTTTAACAGATCGGATACAAAAGAGAAACTTTTGATTTATTATGTCCAACCGTCAGATTAACACCGGTTCGCTTTCGGGTGACATCGCTCAAAAACACGTTGAAACATCAGCAATCCAGTTAAAGTTACCGTATACCCAAACCATCCAGCAGTGGATCGCACCGTGTATTGCAGATGCTGCCTTGTACGGTTTCCTGATGAAATACTCCCAGACCTTTGAAGCTTTTTGGGCTCGCCCAGGCATCGTTTCGGCATGATTGTTAAAAAAAACAAACACAATTTCTCCTTTGCCTTGGTTGCATGTAGACAATGGAAGCGATATTGCCCCCAGCAATTCCCATAGTGCATTGCAACGCTGAATGAAAAGCACCGGTAGCTCTGAAACAGGGAAACGCATCAGGGTAGCATAACGACGCAAGGCAACGACGTAACGCAGCGACGTAACGCAAGCTGTAGCCGAGGCTCATGGCACCGGGACGCCGGCACACCCACAACGCCCACCCAACTGCGGTGTAGCCAGCCTCTACTTTGGAAAACACTGTCAAGCCTGCCCGCACGTTATTCCGCGCTAAGCGTAGATACTAGAGATTACAGTAGTGGCGTTCACAAACTGATTTCAAAATAAGAAGTCTGTACGTAAATAGTATAATACACCAAAAAAAATTAAATAGATACGGTCAAGTTTCGTGTGTTTTTCCTAATTAATCACGGCTCTGCCCAAACTTGAAAAGAGGTTTCTCGCCGGTGGACACAAAGGACAACTCGAGAACTGTTGATTTTATGATCCTTTATTCCTCTTAAGGGTGGTTTGGTGGATCGGACAAAGAACAGAGCAGGTTGATAACCTTTCAAACAAAGCAAAACCCATGAATTAGTCGAGTACATTTCGATAATAACTTTCTTAAAGTAATAATAAATAAATGCGACTGAATTCCCAAACCAAAATAATTCAAATAAACCTAGGATAAGTCTCCATTACTAAATTTAAATGACACATTTCACTAAGTAAAGCAAAGCATGAACAAACAAGAAATCATTCTGTCCTACCTGTTGCGTCTCTGGGAGATTAGGAGCCGTGGCCACAGTGTCCTTTTCCTCAGGGCCGAGTGAGAGAGCCATCTGAGCTCTCCACAAACATTTTATGCCATGCGCTTCCTGTTCGTACGCAGGCACTTCCTGTGGGTGGAATCTCCATTAGCCACATCGTCGCCCCCTGCAGTCTGGGTGCGCTCCGACTGTCCGGCGTGGATATGGGCCTTGAGTTCTCTGTGCGGCTTGTGACCGGAGATTGACGCAACAGATACAATATTTGGGATATAAATGTACATTCTTATCTAGCATTTAAATTTCATTTCATTCATTAACCACATTCTTGTAAGGTACAGGTACTTGAACCCAAAAGCACAACTCGGAAACAGAATCGCAATCAAAGTTATTTACTCGTGTTCAGGCAGGGTCAAAAGCGGGATATCATAGATAGGAATGATTGCAGCTCTAGATGTCACTCAATCAGGACATTCTGAGGTGCCATTTAAAAATGAATGCCCTTCAAAATCTCTGACATGAGCCAATTCCCTTCAAAATATTTCATGAGCCAATTCACCTCACATTTAGATTAGTTTTCGATAGAAAACAAAAGATTCATAATGATTCCACCTCAGACTGATAGTATTTTTTGGGGAGTTTTTTCTGTGCTGATGGTGGGTTTCGGGACAGAGGGTGTTGTATGTGTACAGACTGTAAAGCCCTCAGAGGCAAATTTGTAATTTGCGATTTGGGGCGATACAAAAATAAAAAAGAAAGTAAGGTTACAGTAAGGGATAACCAGGGGCCGGTATTTCAAAACTTGTACCAAATCCCCCTGTCCTCAGCCACGGATCAACTTGATCTATTCCAGTATTTCAAAACTTTGCCGGATTGGATCAGAGTGATCCTGACACCGGCAGATTGGGATGTCCAAATCCGTCCCGCCCCCTGGATCACTGGCAAGAAACAGGAAATGGAGCGAATATGTTACAGAAAAAAGGAGAAGCTGGCACAACTATTGTCTCTAAATGTAAGCATAGTCTTGGTCAGTGTTGATGCGTCCTGAGACTAGATGAAAGGCAATCATTATGTTGAGTTAACCAGCTACGTAAATCAGCACAAAGTTGAAAGAAGAGCTCGGCGATCTCAAATAAAGCCGAGTTCTAATGTGAGCTATCGCTGCTCCGTACACAGCGTCTGTATGTCGCGGTCCACAGTCCACATTTGAATGCATTTACTCGCAAGGCATTGTGTGTAGATTTTAAAATGTGTTGTACATATCTTTTTAGGAAACAGTTGTCAACTAAAGGGACAACCCTAAAACCTTAATATGTGTTTTTCTTTACAGATGTTTGTGGAAAGAGAGGACAGCCAGTTAACACAGACCTGCTCCAAATGGCATAACCTTCTGAGCTTATGCTATAAAAGTGTGTGTGCGCTGCATGCATGTTAATAAATACATTTGACTGGTTTGAGTGGAGGCCTTTATCAGTGGGTATAACTTAACAAAAAACTGTTACTTAAATAAGGCATTTATATTCAAACTTAAACATAGAAATAGCAGTTTTTCAAACAAATAACTTTGGGAGCAGTTACACTTAAACTGTTCAAACCATAACGTGATCTCCCTCAAATCCACCTCTGAGGTGGGATCAGGCTAATCCTGATTTTTAGGATCAAACTGATCCAGATTTCCCACTAAAGTTTTGAAATACTCAACAGCAGTTTTTTATCCGGATCAAAGGCAGGATTAGATTCCCGAATCCGAATCTGAATCTTCAGGATCACATTTGCTTTGAAATACCCGTTTTTATGATCTGATCAGGATTTAATCCAATCTAGGAGGATTAATCCTGTGGGATCATTTTGAAATACCGGCCCCAGAGCACGGGCGTAGGCAGAAATTGTATTTTGGGCGGGCCAGTGAAAAAGTGGGTGGGCCTACAGTTTTTTGTAGAAAAAAAATGACTTAAATAATAATTAAACCTTAGAGAGTAGCAAAGAGAATAGCTAAATTGCAAAAACAGTTACACATTTATTTTGCAATATTCGGCAAAGACAATAACAAAACACTGTCTAAACATCATGTTCAACCTACAGAGCTCAATAAAGGCTAGACAAACCAGCATAGACAATAACCTGTCTTTTTTTATTCAGGATAGTCAGCAGTGCAAAGACAGTTCCCCGAAAATAAAAGTAGGCTAAAAGTAAAAGAAATTAAATAAAAATAATAAAAACTCTCAGCAGAGCACGGTTTGAAATAAATAACAACACACTCCCTAAATTCTGTTAAATCAACCATATACAGTGCAATCAGCCTGGTGGAAATTAAGGTTTTGTGCCAAAAAAATAGCAACTCATTTAAACAATGCAGCCTTTAAGGCATACAGCTATACAACACACCGCATAGTTAAATCACTTCAGAGGGAAAAACTAAGGAAATTAGTTAAACAACTAATTTCATGTTGTTGTTTCAGTTGTAATTTCACTTGTTCACGTTGAACAACTACCTTTGTTGTTTTCATTCCACAAAACAAGACGCAAGCGCCTGGGTTTAGTGTTGAAAACAGAAATTACAATGGCACTGCCACACAGCAAGCAGCGGCCGCCACGGGCACCTGACTAGGCTTCTTGTGGGCTAATGAGTCCGAAGAACTGGGCTGGGTGGACTCGGTAGATGGAGGCAGTGGCGAGTCTTCTCCCTCAACTCTTGCTTTTTTAAAATAACACATTAAAGACACTTGTTTAGCCATTATTGTGGCGATGTTAATCATTGGCTAAAAAAGCAGCTAGCTAGCAAAGAATCCGCCGCCGACCAGAGAGTCGTCCAGTCGGAAACCCTAGCAACCATAGCAACCAATTACGTTCCAGAAGGAGTATTTCTACAATTTACTTCAACAGTTCAATTTTATTAGGAAAACAAATTAAACACCCACACACCAGTCAAAAATAAATCAAATTGATATTAATATATTTCCTTAAACACATTTGAATAGTAAAAATAAACTAAAAATTATTAACTAAAAAACAATTTGATGAAACTTGCCTGGGGGGGCCAGTGAGTAATGTCGGCGGGCCAGTGCCCCCCTGGCCCATTACTGGCCACGCCCCTGCCCCAGAGCATTCTGATGCAGCATTTCAAAATTAAAGCCTGTCAAAGTGTCATACGTGAGCCAACTTCCTCCAAAATCTCATTCATGAGACTGCTTCTGGTCAATTGCAGATGACATTTAAAAGGAAAGGATCAATAGTTGCATAATAATTCCACTTCAGGTTGATAGTACACGATCCCAAGGTGTGACTCTGAGATAACCAGGATGTTCTGATGTAGCATTCCAAAATTAAAGCCTGTCAAAAAAATTGTGGGCCAAAGTTGGCTCCCTGTTTTTTAATGTATTATAATTTATATAGGATTTACAGACTTATTGAATTAATTTGACACATTCAAAAATGCCCTTATTTTGAAATCAGTTTTTGAACAACGCTACTTTAAGCTCTAGTATATACCTGTACCGCGAAATAACTGACGAGCTGACTCCAATCGGTCATCCAAGTAAGGTAAAGTGCATGAATGTCCGTCACAACTTGTGGACGGTTCCCTCGCTTTTGACAGACGAGAGGCTCGTTGTTGTTTTTTCATATTTTTTCGCTTTGCACTCCCGGCATGCAGCGTTGTTGTTCCGAAAAAGTGTGGGGCACCCCTGCGTTAGACCTTTCTGTCTTGATAAAGACGGTTGGGCAGTATGTGGCCCCCTACCTACAATGAGTGACACAGTGTTTCCTGTCCAGCTTTCCGCCACATGTTATAGCCTTAATCAGTGGATTGAGTTTGAAAAGCAAGTCATCCTTTCTGATTTAGCTCAATCTGCTAATGCTTCAAGAATTGGCTGAAAGTTTTTGAAGAAAATCTAGTGAGTAGGTCTTGATAAGGGCCAGGTCATCTGACAGACAGTTTAGGAAAACATCTATTAAGGGGAGTAATGGAATTGATATATGCTTGTCAAACTTCTCAGTGTAAGTGTAACTACACTAAACCGTGCCAAAGATCACGCCTGTCTCTGAACTCAGATTTGATCTTGATGATACATCTGTGAAGCCGCATGGCAAAATGGTACATGGTTGGGAGTTGTCACAGTGATAAAATCTGTTCAAAGACACCCATAAATATTGGAAACTCCTACTAAGACTAACTAGGTGAAGAACTATCAACGTGGCATCTAGTCAACATTAATGTTTAACTGGGTTTCTCTATCACATCTGAAATAATCAGTAGCAACCCATCTAAGCTTTTCTCCCTTTGTCATGTCCTTCATGCAGCTGACAGGGATTGCTAAGTACAGAGATGGGACCAAAGTAGAGGACGAAATCCCACTGACTATCATAGTCCTGGACCAGAATGACAACCCACCTCGCTTTGAGTGGTATTCTGGTAACGTCAGAGAGGCGAGCAAAGCCGGTATGTAACTGTTAAAACACTTTCTCCATTTTCAGTAGGATGATGCTATGGGGGGATTCGATAATGGTTGATGGTTGATGGTATGGCTGGTCCAATGTGAATTCACTTAATCATAATTAGCAGTCTGTCCTATTATATCTAAACCTAATACTGTATATATATGTTGATGCTCAGCCGGAACGGGAAATGTGATGGATTCTCCTGAAATGCTGATGTGTTGTTGTTGTTCCACTGCAGAAACCTTTGTCATGCAGATCGTGGCGAAAGATGATGATCAAGCTGGAACAATCAATTCAGAGATCTCCTATTCCATCATCAGTCAGGAGCCGGCAGGTGATGGTCACATGTTCACTATAGACAAAAAGACGGGCAAAATACACGTCAAAGAGGCCACGCTGGACAGGGAGGTGAGGATTCTGCTTAGTGCGCATAGAACACACTAGTGCTGAAACTAATGCTAAAAGCTGCGCTCGACACGTGTCTCAGAATCTGTGTTGTTAAAAGTGAAGTGATGATGGACACCTACGTTTGATTGAACTGTCCAGTTTGTGCTCACATGCTGAACACGCCTCAATGTGGGGCAAACCCCTGCAGCGTGTCGGCTGTGTGTCGAGTGTGTTGTGGTGTGATTAAATAACACAGGTCACATTTGAACCTCTCCCAACATCCAACCACTAAAAAGAACTGCCGACCAGTTCTTTTGACCTGAGGTATTTTCTCACGCTGTCATTTGACTTTTGACAAAGCTTTGCACAGAAGGATGTTTTGTGTTTCCTCTGACAGACTCAAGACTTCTACACACTGATTGTAAAAGGAATCGATCTGGGAGGGGCAGCAGGGGGGCTAACAGCAACAGGAACTGTGGAGATCAAGATCATGGACATCAACGACAACTTCCCCATTCTAGAAAAGTCTGAGGTGAGAAAAATGCCATATACATTACGCACAGAAACACACAGAGAAACAGGTACTTCCCTACTAGAAAGGGATTATGGGTGAAAGACTGATATGTTATTGTTATTGATTGTTATTGTTGGTGGGCGGAACATAAAAATAACACCAGAGCCATTGTCCGAGCATCAGTATTTGACGCTGGGAGTGAGAATGTGTGTCACGGTGACTGGTACCGGTACATGGCGAGACCCAAAGCACGACTCAGACCGAGATGCGAGGAACTAGTAGGTTTTAATCAATGGGGCAGACAAGGTCAAAGCCGGGAGATCCGTCAGAGGGCAAACACGTCCGAGAGGGGCAGGCAGGGAATCCGTAGACAGGAACAGGCAGAGGTCAGAACCAGGGTGGCAATCAGGAAGGCAAACAAATCCCAAAAGGAGCAGGCAGAGAATCTGGGGTGGAAAGGCAGTGTTGTTACTCCGACCCTCTGCTTCGAAGCTTGTGTCGAAATATGAACCAGTTCACGGCGAAGCAAATGTATCGGTGCTCGGTTAGTTCGCTGCTGATCACGTGATCACGTGACCGCTTCGATTTGATTCAATGGGCTGGAAACAGGGTTCGGGCCTGTCGGTTTGATACAGTCAAAGTCAGTGTTGTAGTAGTAGTTGTAGCAAAGAGCAAATTTACAATGGAACCTGTGGCAAAGAGGTCGCTCAGAGATGTGGCAGCACTTCAATTTCATTTCCTCTAACACGGTTGGCAATAGCAGGCAAAGTCTGTCATTTGTATCCTGTAATTATGGATGTTTATTTTTATTGTGGAGACCACCCGATATTTGGCTGAGCCAAACAAACCACGGAGTGAAGAGCCGCTAAAATATTGGGTCAAACACAAACATGTGTACCCACATCTATTTGTATTAGCACGTAATCTTAAGCATTCCTGCCTCATCGTGTCGTGTGAGCGCCTTTTTTCTAAAGCTGGGGAAACAGTATCTAAGAAACTGACTCAACCCCAATACTGTAGAGAAAATTGTGTTTCTCAATAAAAATCAATAATAATTTCATGCCCCATCCCATGTGTCCACAATCACCTCAATATCCTGTCCTAAGAAACCTGCCCAAAAGCACAATCACTGCCCCATTGACCTTTCCTCTGTAAATCACTTCCCACATTCCACATTCAAACAATTCACATAAGTCCCTGTGACTGCCATAAACTGCACATGCAGTAGGACGCACTTGCTGGTGTTTTAAATTATATTACCTACGTATATATATATATATATATATATAAATACGTAGGTAATATAATACATATATATATACATATATATTAATTCTTCTGCTAGTATGATCACAAACATACATGCACAAAGGTGGAGAAAGACATAGTGTTTGTTATATATATTGTTAAATAAGGGTTTGTTCCACTTCTTCCCAATGTACAGAGAATTGAAATACACAAACAAGGACACAATTCAAAGCTGAAAAACAATAGTTTTATTCATATAGGAATCCATGTATTTATTAGATGATTTATTGGTTCAACTTGTCATAATCATGTTCAACCCAGAGACTGGGCCAAAATATACTGGTAGGCTATTCTATACATTTGCACTATAGGTTTTCAACAGCAGAGGTCATCAGAGAGTTTGCGATGCATTGAATGAATGAACCTTTTCCCGATACAATTGGCTGGAAAACTTCACTGGTTCAGAAAGCTTCACTTTGCCATCACTATGGAAAGGCAGGCAGGGTCAAAACAGAGGTAGACCGGGGTAACTTGGAAAACTCACGCGACAATACACACGAGACAATCTGGCAGGTAAAAAAACGAATGTGACGGCCTTAAATAGGGAGTGACTGATGAGGGGACGTGCTTCAGGTGAGGGCAAGGAGAACCAGGTGAGGGCAAGGAGAACCAGGTGAGGGCAAGGAGAACCAGGTGAGGGTAATGAGCTGATGATGTGGGAGGATCTGAAATGACAGGGGAGTTAGATAACATGCAGTGAAGATGGAAATAAACTATGATGTGGTCTGTTGTGTGACAATGTGTTAGTATCAAATGTCTGGCATTAAACAAACAGGAAGACCAAAAACAAACACTAGGAACACTTGCTACAGACATACAACTCGGTAGGACCACCGATAACCTCACGTGGCAGCCTGATCTCCAAAACCTGTCTGTAAAAATGTGTACGAAAATCTTGAAGATACAAATTCGTAGTGATACGTACTAAATAAATACGGACTGCAACTGATGACGTCACCCTATTCAAAGTGAACAGGGACCTGCGCCCCGTAAACACACTTTGTGAAGTCTAACCATGTAAAATAAACGTGTTATGGTTGCATTTCTAACGCAAAATCAATGTTAACTTGTAAGAATACAATACTAACCCTAACCCCCTCAAAAAATCCAACATGGCGGAGAGACGTTCACGCAAGAATCCGACATGGTCCGCCATGTTGTTCACTCAAGGGGCGTGGTTAACCACCGCCAGTTCCTATGTATTGTTACCAATTTGTATGTTCAAGATTTTCGTATCCATTTTTACAAACAGGTTTTGGAGATCACGTGGATGAGTGGGGGATTGTAAACTAAACTCAACTGTGGGTGGAAAAAAAGGGCGAAAAAGACAGGAAATGCAGTGGTTAAAAGAATAAAACAGGAAGTTATTATTCTCCGTCTCTTCGAGTCCTAACACAAATTTGCATTAAACGTTCTTTCTGGACTAAAGTTGCGATGACTTTTGTACATCTAAAAGGTTGGAGCGCTTCCCAGAGACAGACAGGTCTGAGCAGCAGATCATGACTTTTGGTCTTTGGTTGAGTTCGAAGTCCAATACCACTGAATACCACACTTCCCATGATGCAACTTATTAGCATCATTTGTTCAACACGCCCGAGTCATAAGCCTAGTTTATGCTTCTGCGTTTCCAGAGAGACGGAAGGACTCGCAGACGCAAGAGCCCCTTGCGTGCTTCGGTTTGCCGGTCGAGGGGAACAAAGTTGTGGAGGAAAATACGGGACAAATGTGTCCTTGATGAAAAGCAGCAGTGTGGATGCACGGGGCAATAAAGTCTATGAGAAATAAATAAAGCAACCAACGACTTCCACACACAGAGACGTGACTCTCTAGGTCGTCTTCAACAAAACACGTGACTCCACCTGTTGTTCTGGAGGTGAATCGCTCTGCAACACACGCAGGACTTTACAACCAGGAAGTGAAACGATGCGTAAAGACGCAGAAACATGCAGCAGCCTTTACTCAAACCTAGTGGCCTTTTTCTGAAATCGTTCAAGCACAAATCGGTTGGTCTTGGGTGCAAAAAGTACCGGCTAGAGGTAAACCTGTGATGTTGGATATGACACTTTCCGGGGCGACTGTGGGTGAGTGGGGAGCACGGTCGTCCTCCAATCAGAGGGTTGTCGGTTCGATCCCAGGCTCTGCTAACCCACATGTCGTTGTGTCCTTGGGCAAGACACTTAACCCAACATGGCTCCTGTAGCTGCGACTACAGTGTGTGAATGGTAGTTACTGATGGCAGGTGTCACTGTGTATGGTTCTCCTGTCATCAGTGTATGAATGGGTGAATGATGTCATGTAGTGTTAAAGCGCTTTGAGTCGTCAGAAGACTAGAAAAGCGCTACACAAGTACAGTCCATTTACCATTTACAGTGCTCCTACTGTGGGGGATGGTTAAATGCAGAGAGGAATTTAATGAAGGATACTTCTTAACGTAGCAATCCATTAACTACCATAATGATTTCATCACCACGTAAACAACATTTCTTTTTAGCATTGAGAGGGGCTTAACACTGCTTCACACATTAATTTAGAAAATGGAGAACTGTACTGACTTTTTGAATGGACATTTTCATTTGACATCTTAGCGTAGTGGCTAAAATAAAAAGCTGTCCTTAACCACCAGAAAACACTGGAGTACTACGAGCCTGAAGTACCACTTCTGTGTTTTACCTAGGTTTATAACTTTGGGGGCCGTTCAAATAAAATCACTGAAAGTGTCTTTTTCTTTTTTTGACTGAGATTCTCCAAAGCATATCCAGTCTTTACAGACTAAAACGTCTCCTGCGTATTTAATAAACGATTAAAACTCTGCATGCTTTGGATCTTGTTCTGCTTGCAGTACTCTGGCTCAGTGGATGAAAATGTTGCTGATGTAGTTGTGATGAGAATCAAAGCTCTGGACAAAGACCTTGTAAATTCAGACAACTGGCTGACGGCCTTTTCAATCGCCTCAGGAAATGAGGATAATCTCTTCTCCATTGAGACAGACAAAGAAACCAATGAGGGAATCCTGAAGCTGATAAAGGTATTTTTGTGACTGATGAATGGATTCTAATTTGTTTTGATTTACCGTATCTAATGTTGGGAGGGTTCCTAACATCTCTTATTGTCCCTCTCTCTCCACCTTACTTACCCTTCCTGACAGCCTGTGGATTTTGAAGACCTCCAGAAGCTTGAGCTCGGCCTGCTCATTGAGAATGTAGCTCCTTTTGTGGATGGAGGTGCTGGTGTACTGGTGGATGTGGGCATTAATGTTGGAGAGGGTGGTCCTATAGCTACGGGAGCCGCAGCCGGAGCCGGAGCCGCAGCCGGAGCCGGAGCCGCAGCCGCAGCCGGAGCCGCAGCCGCAGCCGGAGCCGCAGCTGCAGCCGGAGTTAGTGTTGTAGGTGGAGGCTTGCACCTGGGAGTAGAATTAGGGGTGGATGCTGATCTTGAAGGAGGGCTGAATCCAGGATTAGATGCAGGTCTTAAGCCTGGTGTTGGACCTGGAGGTGGTGTTGGACTTGAGCCAGGTGTCCAACCAGGACCAGGAACAAAGCCAAAGCCAAATGTACAGACTAACTATCTTATTAAAGTAACAGTGAATAATGTGCCTGAGGGTCCAACATTCATGCCCGACACGAAGACTGTTCCTGTATCAGAGAATCCAAAGCAAACACCTGACGATGGTGCCATCACAGTGTTCACTGCTACTGATCCAGACACAGGAAAGCCAGCTGAAGATGTAAGGTTAGTCAAAAGAAGAGACTACAGCTGCTGATCTGACGCTGTACATATTTCAACCTAGTAGCCATATACTGTATATCTATATAAACATCATAGTGTTTCATGTTTGTGATGCTTTTTCAGTTTCAAAACTAGTCAATTAGGCACCAAAAATATGTTTATAGGTTTGGTAAATTATCTTATCTTTCGATTTTGGACAGGATATGACTGGTGTCCTGGGCAAGAGTCCTATGTTAGATCCGTCAATTCATTGCAGACTCCTCCATGTGCAGACTTTAGAAGACATTTTTGATCAGAAACAAATTTGTAACATTTAAGTAATCTGGGAGAAAATTACCTTGCTTGAAACTTCCAAAATGTAGTTGTTTTCCATTTATGTCCATCATCTGTTATAAAGTCAAAAATGCCTCAAGATCACAAGCTGTTCTTTTGCTCTGATATGGATAAAAAGGTAAATTAACCTGTGTATGAAGCTTGATCCAGGAAGTGATTATTTTAAGGTAGACTGGCAATGTCACCACAACAGCACTGAGCACTGCACTCTGAAGCCCCTGTGAAGCCCAGTGGCCCACTTTGTAATGTGCTCTAAAACCAACAGTCAGCTCAATGCAATCTGCATTGTGCCTGAAAGGGTCATTAAAAAGACACATAAATCCCACCCAATTCTCAGCAAGAAGGTGATGACGTTTTTTTTTTTCCCCAAATGTTATGCGATTAATACTCAGTGCATTGCCAAGTGTAGTGAGTTTCTGCACAACCAACATGACATCATAGGATCAGACACCGCCCGTCGCCAAGGTTCCACACAGCGGATTTTTAACTATCCTTGCACATCCAACAATTGGATATGCGGAGGATTCTTCGTCACGATTCCATCCGCTTGTGTCAGTGCATCTGTATGTAGTTGCAGTAGCACAACCAAGGCTTTACCTTTTACAAATCATTACTTTTGGTTAAACACTTTACTGTTGCCTAATATTACTTTTCTTAACATGGATGTTCCTTCTGGTTAAACAGTTTGCTGTTAAATATTATTACTTTCTTTAAATGTTTCCTTATATTTTTTTGTGCTCGTATTTGTTGTGCTCCAGTTATGCCAAAGCCTATGATCCAGACAACTGGTTTACCATCGATGAAGAAACAGCAGAGATTAAACTCAACAAGGCACCAGATAGGGAGTCACCGTTCTTGGTAAATGGAACCTACATTGCCAAGATTCTGGCCATAACCAAAGGTAATCTCTTTTGTACTTTAGAATCCTTTGGAATTGTTGTCAAAAAGGCTGCCTCATTTTTCACTTCTGTCAAAAATTGCTTTGGCTCTCCTGAAGGATTACATGAAAATGGTCACCAGGGTATTTATCAGAGTGTATTCCCATTCATTACTCAAGTAGAAGTACAGATACTAGGGTTTAAAAAGACTCATGTAGAAGTTGAAGTATCGACTCAAGCTTTTTACTTAAGTAAAAGTATAAAAGTACTGGTTTCAAAACTACTTAAAGTATAAAAGTAAAAGTAATGTAAGAAATTCCATGAAGGAGAAACTCTTGCCATCACGTGACCTGCCGTTGGGATGGTGGAAACAACAACAACAAATGTATCTGACTTAAACAGATAAAACCACAACCCATTCTCCAGTGACACGAGTCACACACACGTTGTTCGCATTGATGAGGTAGACTGCAGTGTCTCCTCCAGGTTTACTACGTCATGTTTATAATGATGGAAACACTGAACTGGCAGCGGTCGGTTATCAAACATTGGCCAAATAACCAGAATGTTCAGGCTTCATGAGCAAATACAGAATCCCTTTGTGTTCATTTCCAAAGCCGCATTAAGACACACATCACTTTATTTAATACGCTGCTTGCAAGACGCTGTGTTGTGCCAGACTCTCAATAAAACGTTTAGGACAAACCCACGGTCATGAAGATACTCATTTGGCGTTACATGGAATCTGTGTGAGGAAGAGGAAGAGGAGGAGGCTCCGTGTCCCTAAATACCAACTTTCCACCGACCACTTTTCCCACCCGGTGACGCTCCGATCTGCCGGCGCATCGCGGAGAAAACAATCGTGTGTCTGGATGCTAAATGTTTATACTTCTCATCCAACCACAATCAAATTTACTGTCCGCATAGCGACACTTATCTTTTTGTGTTTGTGTTGTTGAACTACGACAAGCCGGAAGTAACAAGACTGTTTTTAAAATGTAAGAAGTAGAAAGTACAGATATTTGCGTGAAAATGTAAGGAGTAGAAGTACAAAGTCGTCTGAAAAATAAATACTCCAGTGTCAGGCAGGGAGGAGGAGGACTCGGACGCAGAGGGTTCAGCTGATATTGCTTTTATTAATAACAAGGAAAAAACTCAAAATCTCTCTTAATGAGGAAAAAAGGTTGCGATCAAAGTTCAAAAGGAAAAAACTCAAAATCTCTCTTAATGAGGAAAAAGGTTGAGATCAAAATTCAAAAGGCAAAAACTCAAAATCTCTCTTAAACGAGGAAACGTAACAGGGATCAAAAGGACGTGACAAACGTTATCGGACTTGACTTGACTCGTGACGTGAGGGCTGGTGTGCAGGGCAAAACAACAAGACACACTGGCACAGGACAAGGGGCGACGCAGACTATAAGTACCCATGAGGGAGTTGTGGGAACAGGTGGACACAATCAGGAATCAGGGGAGACAATCAGACTGGTGACACATGAGGAAGGGCAAGGGACCTGAAACGAGAGGGAGTTAGTTTCCAAAATAAAACAGGAAGTCAAAAAACAACTGGAGACAGGACAAAAACGCAACTTGACATACAGGTGTGACATTACCCCCCCCTCAAGGCCGAATACCAGGCGGCCTTGGAATGTCCGGGTGTGCTCTATAAAAATCTCGAATGAGATCCGGGTCCACTATGAAGCTAGACGAGACCCATTGTCGTTCCTCTGGGCCGTAGCCCTCCCAGTCCACGAGGAACTGCCTGCCCCGTCCCCGCTTACGTACCGCCAGCAGTTTCCTCACCGTGTAGACCGGCCCCCCCTCGACCATTCGAGGGGGTGGGGGTGGCTTGGGGTTTGGCACCATTGCGCTCTCCTTCGCTGGTTTGATTTTGCTGACATGAAAGGTTGGGTGTACCCTCAGGGACCGGGGCAGACGGAGGCGCACAGCTGCTGGATTGATAATCCTCGAGATGGGGAACGGGCCGACAAAGCGAGGGGCCAGCTTTCGTGATTCGACCTGCAAGGGTAGGTCCTTGGCTGAGAGCCATACTCGCTGGCCGGGCTGGTACACTGGAGCCGGTCTTCTCCTGCGGTCCGCTGCTTTCTTCACTCTGTCCCCTTGTCTGATTAGCGTCTGGCGTGCCGCTGCCCAGATGCGGCGGCAGCGGCGGACCAAGGCCTGGGCGGAGGGCACAGACACCTCTGGTTCGGACTCGGAAAACACAGGGGGTTGGTAACCAAAAACGCAATGGAAGGGAGACATGCCAGTGGCGGAGGTGGGAAGGGAGTTATGGGCGTACTCTACCCACGTCAGGTGTTCGCTCCATGACGCAGGGTTCTGGGCCACCAGGCACCGGAGGCTGGTTTCCAGTTGTTGATTGAGGCGCTCCGTCTGTCCGTTGGCCTCGGGATGGTACCCCGATGTGAGGCTAGCTGTGGCTCCGATGAGCTTACAGAACTCCTGCCAGAACCGCGAGACAAACTGGGGCCCCCTATCGGACACAATGTCTCTGGGGAACCCGTGGATCCTAAACACGTTGTTCATCATGCAGATAGCGGTCTCTTTAGCGGTGGGCAGCTTGGGTAGGGCTAGGAAGTGTGCCATCTTTGAAAATCTATCCACCACGGTCAACACCGTGGTGTTCCCCTTGGAGGTCGGTAGCCCCGTGACAAAATCCATCGAGATCTCTGCCCACGGCCGGGACGGGATGGGCAGCGGCTGTAGCAAGCCTGCGCGGGCTCTGGAGGAGTTCTTGTTCCTGGCGCAGACGGAGCATGCCTCAACGTACTCCCTGACCTCCGGCTCCATGGACGGCCACCAGAACCTCTGCGTGATGGCGAACATGGTCCGACGTACGCCCGGATGGCAGGTGAGCAAAGACGAGTGAGCCCAGTGGATCACCTGTGGGCGCAGATTAACAGGGACAAACAGACGATTATCTGGGCACCCACGAGGTGGGGGGGTCTCACCGTTGGCCTGCTTCACCTTGGTCTCTATAGGCCAGGTAACCGCTCCAACCACACAGTGTAGTGGGAGGATGGGCTCAGGTTCCCTGGCCACGGGCTCCGGGCTGAAAAGACGGGATAAGGCGTCAGGCTTGGTATTTCTTGATCCCGGTCTGTAGGAAAGGGAAAAATCAAAACGGTTAAAAAACAAGGACCAGCGGGCTTGACGGGAATTCAAACGCTTGGCCTTCTTGATGTACTGCAGGTTCTTGTGGTCTGTCCAAACCAAAAAAGGGTGCTGTGCCCCCTCGAGCCAGTGCCGCCACTCCTCCAGCGCCGCCTTCACTGCCAGCAGCTCACGATCTCCCACGTCGTAGTTCCGCTCCGCTGCAGTTAGTCGTCGCGACAGGAAGGCACACGGATGAAGCTTGTTGTCAGACTCTGCTCGCTGGGAGAGAATGGCCCCGATCCCATTATTGGAGGCGTCCACCTCCACCACAAACTGGCGAGCCGGATCAGGGAGCGTGAGGATGGGTGCTGTAGTGAAGCGCCGCTTAAGCTCCTGGAAGGCCGCGTCTGCCTCGGCGGACCAGTGAAACGCCACCTGCGGGGAGGTAAGAGCATGGAGCGGGGCTGCTGTCGCGCTGAAGCCTCTGATAAACCGCCTGTAAAAGTTAGCAAAACCGAGAAATTGCTGTACCTTCTTGCGGCTATCAGGAGTTGGCCACTCTACTACCGCGCTTACTTTAGCCGGATCCATCTGAACCCTCCCAGGGGCTACGATAAAGCCCAGGAAGGCGACAGTATCGGCATGAAATTCACTCTTCTCCGCCTTCACATATAACCCGTTGTCTAAGAGACGTTGCAGGACGAGTTCAACATGGTTCCTATGGGTGTTTAGGTCGGGGGAATAAATCAGAATGTCATCTAAATACACATACACAAACTGGTCTAAAAAGTCTCTTAACACATCGTTTATCATCGCTTGAAAAACTGCTGGGGCGTTTGTGAGACCAAAGGGCATGACCAGGTATTCATAATGTCCAGACGGCGTGTTGAATGCCGTTTTCCACTCATCCCCTTCCCTAATGCGAACCAAGTGATAGGCGTTGCGTAAGTCCAGTTTGGTAAAAATCTGCGCCTGTTGAAGCTGGTCGAATACTGAGGTCATGAGAGGTAGAGGGTATCTGTTCTTAACGGTTATGTCGTTAAGCGGGCTGTAGTCAATGCAGGGGCGAAGGGTTCCATCCTTTTTTCCCACAAAGAAAAACCCTGCCCCTGCTGGGGACGAGGAAGGTCGGATCAACCCCGCCCTCAGGGAGGATTCGATGTAGTCCTTCATGGCCTGCCTCTCGGGCCCGGAAACAGAGTAAAGACGGCCCTTCGGGATGGTGGAGCCGGGCAGAAGGTCAATGGCGCAGTCGAACGGGCGATGAGGTGGTAGAGCTGTGGCCTTGCTCTTACTAAAAACCTCAGCGAGGTGGTGGTAGCAGCTTGGAACTTGAGTCAGATTAGTGATCTCCGAGTCTGTGACAGGGTGAGTGACGACACGGTTTAGCGTGGGGTTCTTCCCTTGGGGGCATGATTCCCGACATTGGGTCCTACAACCCTCCCCCCATACCATAATGTCCCCGGTGCGCCAGTTTATGTGTGGGTTGTGATGAATTAACCATGGGAACCCGAGGATGAGATGGTGCAGAGGTGAGTGTATTAAATACAGCTGTATGCGCTCCCAGTGATTGGTGATGCGAAGCTCCACCGGTTCTGTAACATGGGTTATAGTGAACAATGCACTTCCATTAAGTGCGCTCGCTTTAACCGGTTTACTCAACGGGTCAACCCGAAGCCCCAGTCTTTGTGCTAACCCCCAGTCGATTAGGCTCTCATCTGCCCCTGAGTCAATCAATACCCCCAGCTCTAGGTCCTTATCCCGGTGCTTAATCCTCACTGTGGTCAATCGGCGTGGAGTAGGAGTAACTTCGGCGACTTGACTCACCGACTGGTTGGCCTTTACTGGACAGGTGGTGATGAGGTGGCCACGCTCGCCGCAGTAAAAGCATCTGCCCTCCTGGTAGCGTCGCTGTCGTTCCTCTTGAGAGAGCCGGGCCCTCCCCATCTGCATGGGCTCCTCCTCGCCTCCGGCACGGGTTCTTGAGAGTCGCTCAGGGGAGGTTTGACGCGATGCGGCGCCCCAGAGCGTCGGGGAAGGGCCAGGTGCAGCGGGTGTCCCTCTGGGCCCACGCTGCCGCCTCCGTTCCTGTAGGCGGTTGTCGGTGCGGATGGCGAGGGCGATGAGGGAATCGAGGTCCAGAGGCAGGTCCAATGGGACCAAGAGGTCCTGGATCTGGTCGGAGAGCCCTCTCAGAAAAACATCGTAGAGGGACGTGGGGTTCCACCCACTCTCCATCGCCAGGGTGCGAAAACGTATGGCGTATTCACAAACGGACTGTCCACCTTGCTTTATCTGACTGAGCTCACGAGCCCTTTCTCGGTCTGTTGCCACAGGGTCAAAAACAAGTCTGAGAGCGTCGGCAAACTTCTTTGGTGATGAGCAAACTGCCGAACTCCTAGCCCACTCAGCGGTGGCCCATGCCTTGGCCCTTCCCGTGAGATGGGACATCATGAAGGCAACCTTGGACCGTTCTGTGGGGAAGTGCATCGGAGAGTGCTCGAAGTGCATTTCACAATCAATGATGAAGGACCTACTTTGTCCGATGGTTCCGGAGTATCGTTCCGGAGGTGCCAGCCTCGTGCACGCATCTGCTGGTGTGGCTACGGGAGGGGGCTCAGACGGCGTGGGGGGTTGTTCGGGAGAAGCCGCGGGGTTCCTGGAGAGCAAGGTGAGAATTTGTTCTACCTGACTGTTTAGGAGTCCCACCTGCGTGGTCATGGCAGTCTTAAACCCCTCCTGGCTTTGAGCAAGTCCCCGAACCCCTCGATCGAGGTCAGCAACAAGGTCTTCATGCTGCGCCAGTCTTGATGCTTGAGCGCGCAGCGCCTCCGTCAGCTGGTCCTTCTCTGCCGAGTCCATTCTGGCCAGTGTGTACTGTCAGGCAGGGAGGAGGAGGACTCGGACGCAGAGGGTTCAGCTGATATTGCTTTTATTAATAACAAGGAAAAAACTCAAAATCTCTCTTAATGAGGAAAAAAGGTTGCGATCAAAGTTCAAAAGGAAAAAACTCAAAATCTCTCTTAATGAGGAAAAAGGTTGAGATCAAAATTCAAAAGGCAAAAACTCAAAATCTCTCTTAAACGAGGAAACGTAACAGGGATCAAAAGGACGTGACAAACGTTATCGGACTTGACTTGACTCGTGACGTGAGGGCTGGTGTGCAGGGCAAAACAACAAGACACACTGGCACAGGACAAGGGGCGACGCAGACTATAAGTACCCATGAGGGAGTTGTGGGAACAGGTGGACACAATCAGGAATCAGGGGAGACAATCAGACTGGTGACACATGAGGAAGGGCAAGGGACCTGAAACGAGAGGGAGTTAGTTTCCAAAATAAAACAGGAAGTCAAAAAACAACTGGAGACAGGACAAAAACGCAACTTGACATACAGGTGTGACACTCCAGTAAAGTATAAATACCCAAAATGTCTACTTAAGTACAGTAACGAAGTATTGACACCTCTGGTATTTATGGGTTTTGTGAGCAGCTCATAAACATGGTTGCTTGAAATGAATAGCACTGATCTCTGACTGAACCTGCCTTTTGACTCACAGTGTGAGCCATGAAACAACAACAGGCCTCCTTCAAAATCTGTAACGTTTTGAAATTCAAGTTTTTTTTAAATTAATTATAATTTTCTTTTGTATTCTATTTGACTATTTTCTACTGTAATGTATTTTCATTAAGAGTGTACTAAGCAGGCTTAAGTTTGATCACTTTGTGTTGTGAGAGAGAGAGAGAGGGGGCTGTAAGAGAAAAGGAATCCAACTGAAGCCCCATTGGTCATACACCCACAATTGTACTAACTGCATGCGATCCAGTCTGCTGTCTGACTTACTTCACTGTGTTCATCCTCAGACATGCCATCAAAGACAGCTACGGGAACAATAGCCATTCAAGTCAATGACTACAACGATCATTGTCCCACCCTGACCACCACACACAGCAGCCTATGCTCCAATAAAAAAACTGTTTGTGTCACTGGCTTTGATAAGGATGCTAGTCCCAACGCTGCTCCATTTACATTCAGAATCATAAGTGAAGGGACACGAGGCAACTGGGACGTGGAAGTCATCAATGGTAAGACATGTAATGTAATCATCAATACATAAATTGTTCCATCCAGTCTACCTCCCAAATCGTCATAATATACACGCAGAAATGAAATTTGGAGTCCACATTTAACCAATGCTAAGTATTTAGAAGCTGTGATGTGCTGTAACGTGCTCGGGAGCTAATGTCGACCTCATGGACAGTTCAACATGCACGCAGGGATTGTGGTTGAGGGCGACCTCCTTTACCCACTAAGCCACCTTCTCAGACCAACGCGCCAGGGAATCCTCCAGTGTCTGTAGAAGATGCACCAAGCTGTTAACTAGCTCCAAAGTAAACCTGTCCATTATTTAGTTGTTGTATAAGGAGCAAGAAAGTCAAGTGGGAGTGGTGGATGGTTTGGGTTTTTTTTACCTAGAAGACTTATTTTCTGTTACATTTGTTAAGTAACTTGAAAAAAGAATAAGAATACTCATGGTGACATTTTTAATCTGGACGTTTGTATCTGTGGGGAAACAGACGACTGCACGGCAGCGAAACTCGGAGCCCCTTCACCCAAGCTTTCTGTCTCGGCCATCAGCCTGATGCTAATGGGATTCTGCTCATTGCTGTGTGAGTTGAACACCCTTACGCAATTATCTCATCATATAGGCAATACTAGGTTTAATTAAAATGTGAAAGATTTAGCTGTTATACTATGCTGTAAATGACAGGGACATATTTGCATTATACAAGTACGAGCCAATTTTCAGCCGGACACAAACCCATATTTATGACTGTTCTGGGAAAATACAGCACTTTATCCGTTTTCTGCATATTGTTTAATTGTAGTGCATTGCAAGCCAGTAAGGGAATTAGCTGAAAATGTAAACATGTTGGGCCTCATGTACTAACGTTTTTACGCCCACTTCAGGGGTAGTTGTTTTGCAAGGTGCGCGTAAAAGCATGGCCAGGTATGTACAAACAAGCACCAGTCAGGTAAACGCGCTGCGTCTGCCTGAAAGGCAAATTGCACTTTCCGTGTCATGCATATGCATTGACGGGAGGGTCAGGAGGAAGGTGGGAGTTTCCCATAAACAGATGGGAGGGAATGTGTGAAGAGCGTCAATTATGTATTCGTGGTATGTACAGAAAACGCCCAAGAAAGCGTGCCCCCATTTTTGCGGTGAAAATTCTCCACAGTAACATAGGCCAAGGAGACAAGCTCAAAGGATTTTTGCCACAAGGATCACACTTTTTCAGTTGAGCGAACAGGATATCATTACAAATGTAAATACATGAGGCCATGAGTATTGCATTACTCCTTTACTGGTGAAAGTAAGTTGTAATATGATTTACACATTTGAAGGGGAGAGAATATTGCTGGTAATATTGTATAGGAAATATATTAGTGTCTCTAATAAGTATGACTTCCTCAATCATAAAAGGCCAAGTTCGTCCGTTTATGGTGTCCGCCATTGGATTTTCTTTGTAAAAAATATGTATGAATGTCAATGTTGAGAGGTAATTTGTTTTTTTTATCCCTTTTCTATTGTGCCATGAATTACACATATGATATGTCAATTTGAAAGAAAGTGGGAATTTAGTGGTGTAGTATTACATTTTTTGACTGCATCCCTTGTCTCGTGTCATGCCCACCACAACACAGCTGTTAACTTGGCTTGCTACCTAACGGGGTAAGTTTCACAAACAAATGTAACGTTATCCAACCCTAAATGGCTCTTTATATCAGCTGGGAAGAACTAGAAAGACGAAACGCCACTTCCTGCTGCAAAACACATCGTGGGTTGGCTGTGTATTCATATTCATGTGGTCTTATGTGTTCTTATTTTTACACGCTTTTACTTCAACACTCCATGATAAAATGTGACTTGCTTCATGTCCAAAATTAGACATCATATGTGTAATTTATTGCAACGGTCTCACTTTTGACTAGTATTAGTATTGGAAGATTCTCAAAGGCTTGCATTTGTTATGTTGTACAAAACTACATTGTTAGGATTTGATATGTAGTTTCTGCTTTGGTGTCTCTTGAGATACAAAATACCGTAGAGTAATATAAATGTTATTGCTTCTCTCTTTAGTCACCCCTCTCCTCCTGCTGTTCTGTCGGTGTGGAGGAGACAACACCCCCCGTCCTGACCAATTCAAAGATCTGCCATTTGGCACCAAAGAACACCTCATATCCTACCACACTGAAGGCAGAGGCGAGGACAAGGTCAGCCGGCATTGTTGTTTCCTTTTTAGTGGATACATACATCTTCCTATCCTATCATATTGGTCACTGTACTCACCAATCATTAGAATTTATTTTGCATCCACTTTGAAATGTGATGTTCTGGTTTAAAGTTTAATGCTTTTCAACTTTGATAGATTGCTGTGTCAAAATCATACAGAATATCTGTTGATTCAACACATTTTATTACTTCTGTTTTGTTATAGGAAGTTCTACCCCCAAGTGTCCCATTAATGTTAGAAAACCAGAAGAAACTTGGAGCCGCAAAAGCAGCAAGCTTCAATGCCATTTCATCAAAAATCCCACAATCTCATCACACGACAAGGTACAATGAAGCAATGCAGATTATTTGGGGAACCAACCACAGTCGGTTGGAGACCGACAATGCCTACAGGTTTTCAAGGAAATCTTTCAACCATGGAAATGCCAGTGCTTCCTTTAGCCGAAAAACATCTGGTGCCCAATGCACGACAGCTCTGTATGAGGATGTATCTGACGCGTTTCTCAAGGATTATTACTCACAGGTATTGTGCCAACTTTACATGCAACTACTTTTTTCCAGATCTGTCAAAGTCAAACAGATGTTCAGAGTTTGACACCAGTGTTTGTGCTATTTCCTTGCCCTAAACAGAAAGCGGCGTATGCTGTGGAAGGGAAGGACAGGGTTTTGGAGTTTGACTTTGAGGGCCATGGCTCTTCTGCTGGCTCGGTGGGCTGCTGCAGCCTTCTGGGGTCTAATAATGACCTGCAGTTCCTCAATGACCTCGGCCCGAAGTTCAAGACTCTGTCTGAGATCTGTTCCCCTCCTACACCAATACCCAACTCTTCTCTGACACAAAAAATACAAGGTCCTGTCCAAACAAATATAGTTGATATTGCTAAAGCGGTTGTTGAGTCTAAAATTGATTGCATTGTAGAAACACAGCGTGCCGATATAAAGACACTTGCTCATTCTAATCTAACTGACATCAGTTATTGCTCAAACATTGATAATTCTACTCTGCCCCATCAATCAGGAATCAGGAATCAGGAAACATTTCAAGCTCAGACAGTTATACTACAGCAATGGCCAGTTTACTACACTTCTGCCCCTCTACTACAGACTTTGCAGTATGTAATTCAACCGCAACTTCAGAACAGTGTTCTGCTGGATGACGTGGCCCATGGAGCTAAATTTCCAGGCCTGCATGTAGTCGGTGGTCCCCAGGACCCTTATTCTGAACTCATTAACGTTATCAGTGGTATTGAGAGCCCCACAAGCCCTGTCAGCAGTCCAGTAAGTCTCACCCTGTTGCCACCTTGTGGCCCAGGGTTATCTCCGGACTCAGTCCCTGAGGTCAGCCTCGCAAATCCAGCAAATCCCACTCTGTTGCTAACTGGTGGCCCAGAAGTATCCCAGAACGCAGTCCCTGCAGATGGCTGGAAAGTGGTGGGGGCAAATTCTGATGGTAGTTATATATTAGTTAATGACCAAGGAAGTCCAGGTAAGGCAAAAGGAGCAGACCCAGGCACATCTCAGGGCGCTTTGCCAAGAGGTGCTAACCTGGTAAGACAGGCTGCTCGCCCTCAGGGGGTGTTAGATACAGCAGCCCAGGGACGTGTGTATGGAATTCTGCCAGGACACACCATTGCTAAAAAGAGGCGTGTTGTTGCAGTTAAGAGGAATTTGGGGCAAACATGGGTTGGGGAGACAGAGCTAATGGATTTGGGGCGGGTTACTGTTTTAGGAATGGGAATGGAATATGTGGTGGATGTGAAGCCAGATGTCAGACATGTTGCAGTTTGGTCAACGGGGATGAACCCTGTTGGGATTAGGCAGCTCAGAGTAAACCAGTTACATGAAATTCCACCATTTGAGCAAACATTGGATGCTAGTGGTGTTGTGGGAGAATGTACAATAGCTTCACCACGGAAGGTCAGAACAGATCAAAGATATGTTATATGTTATATGCTTTGGATCGTTGAAGGTTTAGAGAACAGAAGTGCGGATGTTGGGTTAGAATCTCAATCAAAGGAGGAATCAAAAGGAGGATCACAGGAACTAAGTGACAAAAGCCTGGAGGAAGATATCAGTCCAAAAGAAAACATTAAAAGAAATCCGGTCATTGCTACTTATAGTATCCAGGCAAAGAAGAATATGGAGGAAATCACTACTTTAACCGGTGATTCACAAGAAAAGGTAAAGGCTATTCAGGGAAAAGTGTTAGATCCTGAAGTGGGAGTCAATAATGTGGTTGAAAAATTGTCAGCAGATCCTCAAAAGGAATTTTCAAAAGACACTCATCAAAAACCAATGCTAGAACAATGGAGTAAGATAGAAAATGGTCATACAAACACAGCTATTACTGATTCTGAAGCAAGAACATCATTACAGCCTGTGAGCTTTATCATAAACAACCAAGAAGATCTGAGGGAATCAAATGTGATATTAGCATCAGTAGAAATGAACAACGTACAAGAAGAGAGCTCTGTCCCAACTATTCAAACATCAGAGCACCATATGGATACACCAAAAGACCGTAGTGCTGGCTACAAAGAAGAAGATCATGATAATCAACAACATAAAATATCGCAATCAGGAGTAAACAAGGATGAAGTTGGTACGGATGCAGGCGGTATTCGTGATGGAGAGGCACAGGAGAGTTTTACCACACCCAAAAACCCAAATGAAGACATCAAGAGGCAATGTTCTTCGAGTTCTCAAATGGAGGATATTTTCACCTGAGATGATGCTAATACTGAAGAGGAAGATGGTTTATTGGAAATGGCGTCACCAGACATAAGCTTCTTAGATTACCAAAATGGAGAGTGTAGAGGAACATCAAACGGCTTACATCTCAAATGAATTAGACAGTGTAAGTGATGGAGAGAAAGAGGCACCATTTATACAGCATAACATTTGCATTTTAGGTGCAACAGGCAAGTTATTTCATTGAGGAAGAAGAGTAGAAGAAGAGAAGTCTAACCCGCTATTAGAAGAGGACTCTGTACCTTTTGAGACTCAAAGTTTATCTGAGGAGGATATTCATCTAGAAAGTTAACATATAGAACTGAATCTGGTGCGGTCAACACCAAAAGTGGTCAAACTCAAGAAAGTCCTTTTGAAGTCAATACACACCATTTAAGGACAGTGATGGGTTCTTGTCAGACAGTGGACACTCTGGATATTACTGAGGGACGTTGTTGGCCAAGCGTTAACGGATGCTAACAATGATGGTTTTGACATTATGGTCACGTCTTCGGAGGAGATCCTCTACAGGTCTATACTCAGTCATGATAAATGGGCCAGTGGTAGAATATTGGCATTGGGGCACAGGGTGTAACTGCCTGATTATCATGGCACAAACATCATTTTAAGCTTGGAAAATCTCACTTTAGAAAAAGGCAAAGTAAAGGTCACTTTTGCCCCACAGTTAACAGGGATTAGATAATTGTGCAACTAATGTATCTCTCCAGGTATCGCCAACAACCTATTCCGAGATTAAATTGGTGGATAATTCCGTATCTTAAATGTTAGAAAAAGAAGCAGGCTCATCAGAGACCGGAATTGCATGAACATCAGACATAGTTGAGGAGGCTGGTGACTTTGTTCATATTGAAAGTGTGCACATGACAGGAGAAGCAGCAGGGGTCGGCCCGAATACTTGAGAGCTGGTTTGACAGAGGTTGTGCCTGAAGCTCCCGATAACACGCATGGTTCCGAGGATTGGGTTAACTTCCAATGTTAATGTGTGCTTTGACACATTATCTCATTAGGGTGGCAAATCCCAGCTTTGCCTGTGTGACTTGAGTTTTGTAAGGGGTGTGTCCCAACATTACATACCATCAGAAGTGGAAAGAGTACTGAAAAAGTACTGTTACGTTGCTTAAATTGTACTCAATTACAAGTAAAAGTACTAGTGTTAAAAGATACTTATGTAAAAGTTCAAAGTACTCTTTTCAAAAACTAGTACAAATGACTTTTTAAGCGATGGATGTTTTATTGCATCGTCAATAGCAGACATTCGATTCACCTGTATAAAATTCAAAGCACATTTCTTAGACGAACTATATAGAAAAATTACAGGCAATCAAACGGCAAAACAAATCCAACAGTAAAACACTGCAAGAGAAACCGGAGCACACGCCACGCAAACTTCAAAACACATGCAAGAGAGAAAATAAAAGCAATATCATACAAGTATAGTTGTAAAAGCTCTTACTGCAATGTGTTTTTTAGATTAAACGTTGAAGTCTTGTAAGCAGATATCACAGTGTTGGTCAAACAAAGTTTCACTTCATCTGGACGCTGTCTCATTTTCTTCCTTTGTAAATGAAAAATTCCTCCAGGTACGGCCACAGGCAGTCGTCCTCCGTCGTTTGTTCATTATTCTCCCTGGTAACTTCTGTCTCCATTTTGGCTTCTTTCTCGCCATCTGACAGCCAATAACGCATTGAAAAAAAAATCTGACAGTATGATTATTATTTTAAATTGTGGGCATACTCAATAGCAACTTTTGATTTTGAAAGTCAAAAGTTGGTGTAAATTGTACTTGAGTATGAGTAAAATTACACACTTGAAGAAAATACTCCTAAAAGTAGTACCCAAAAAATCTACTTAATTACAGTAACGTGAGTATTTGTAATTTGTTACTTCCACCTCTGCATACCATACAGACAGTCCAAATACCAGAAAGAGGTACTTCAACTTCTGAACTTAATTGCCAAGAAATAGTTTATGTTGATGCTAGTTGATCATATATCATAGATCGGACAACTGCAGGAATTATTAACTTTTACTTTAATCTGTGTTATGCGGGTTTATGGAATTCTGCTCTCAGCCGGTCCAGTCGCTGCTGCTTCTAAAGTCGGAGCGAAGAGGATGGGTGGTGTTTTTTCAAATGAGTTAAATGTACGGGCTAGGGATATGATATGATAAGATGTACTTTATTGTCCGGAGGGTAATTTGTCTTGTGCAATTCAAAATACACAATAGATTATAGATTTTAGAGCACAATAGAAAACACAAAGATAAGACAAAAAACTGGTGTCTGTAATAACCTTTTATGTTCCAAATTGTGTTCAGAATTTTGGTTGTGGGTCCACCTTTTTTTTGCATATCTCTTATTATCTCATAGACCTAACAAACAGATTGGTTTTTGAGCCATTTGTTCTTATTTTTATCTAGTTGAAATGTAAAAACTACTAGACAGAACATGCACTGGTTGAAAAACTAGTCTGGATCTGTGATCGAAACAACAAATTGTCTCACTTGATGTTGGGGGAGTTAGCGGGTTGTTTGGTCATTTCATCTCCCTGTATTAATCAAAGAAAATTCATGATTTTATTAAAATACTATTTGGAAGTATTGAATACTGTCATCATTCCATTTAAATCTCTCACATCCACAGTGTGGTGTGTGTTGCATACAACTGCAGCGACAGGTCAGTGGAGAGCACAGTCGTCCTTGAGAGGATTACAGCTAACTGGCGTGTCCGCCATGTCTGAATGATGAAATGTAGCATCGAGTGGTCAGACGACTACTAGTTCAAACAAACTATAATAAAAAAAGAAATAGCCAACATTGATTTTGTCACGAATGGGGAAAGCAGAACTCAGATGCAGAGTTGCAAACGAAAACTACTTTATTAAATCCAAAAACCAAAACACCAGGGGGGGAGGAGGGGGCAAAGGCATGAATAAACGCACACGGGGAACAGGGACAGACAACAAAGGGACGAGGTTTAACACGCAGGTTTGAAAAATCAATGACGCAACAAGTGACAAGAGACACACATGGCTTAAATACACTGGGGAGGTGCAGGTGGAAACAATCATGACACGACAGACAATCACAGGGGACGACAGGACAAGGCAGGAAGTGAAGTTACCCAGGGAGACAAGAGGCAGAAAACTACAAAATAAGACAGGAAATAAACCCAAGCTGTGACAGATTTAACTCACAATTATTTGAATCATTTCTGTTATAGGAATTGAATGTATTGTACATCTTCTACATTTTGTACACATCACATCCATTGTAGTCTGTCCATAACATATCCACAGAGCCAGTATGTAGTAATAAAAACATAGTTCAAACAAACTATAATATATATGTGGAATATTTCAATAAAACTAGTTTGGGAGAAGAGAATGATTTCTTTTAATGTTTATCTAATAAAAAAACAGAGTCTTGATGAATGATCAAAGTTGCGAGAAGTCCATTTATTGCTTGCAAGCAGGAGGTCAAATACTCAAGCACGTATTAGTGTTCTGTGTAAACGGCGTCTCCGAGCAGTAAAAACAAGTTTTCTCTCATTCTGATAGATTTATTTGTCAGATCACAGGTCAAGTATAAACGCTGCGTTTGCAAAGGCAGGAGCAATTCTGTCAGACCGCAGGCCGGAAGAACAACTGACTAACATCAGGAAGAACATTTTGTATTTCTTGTTAGATATAAAAGAATAGATTTCTATTGGCCCTAAACTTGTTCCGATGGAATGTTCACACTAACCTGGGACGTCTTGTTCTAATGTCAAAAGGAATGGCATGTCTTCTGGAAACCCAGATGTGACCGTTTGCCCTGCAGTGACAAGCAAGGTGAAACTTGTCGTACTGCTCACCACCAAATAACTCAAACATACCCCGGAGCCACGCAGCGCCAAGATCTGTCCCTATGGAATATAAACCATGAATGAATGAATAAAGTTGTTGAAACACTAAAGTTTTACTTGTATGCACAGTTAGAGATTATTGCTCACATTACATTTACATTTCTGCCGTCTAGGTTCTCTTTCAGATACTGTTTTGTCCGTACGAAGCGGTTATAAATACAACGTTAACGAGCACTTGCATACTGGAAGCACAAAGCAGAAGACACAAAGGCAGAGTAAGTAAAGTTTGATTGACTAAGTTCAGGCAGGGGAAAAGCAGAAGATCAGTCCATGAGGCAAACAAAACCGACGAGGGGCAGGCGGAGAATCCGAGGTTGGAAAACTGGCAAAAATAGTTGGAATAGATCTGGACTAATAAGTAACAAGGTAACGCTACAGCAAATTACACCAGACAATCTGCAGTGAACAAATGAGCGGACCTTAGCAGTGAGGAACCATGAGGGCAAGGGCTGCAGAGGAGATAGGATGAGACGCAGGAACTGAACCAAGGTGGGACAGGATGACAACAACCCAAGATGGAAGACAACAGCAGGAAGACTTCATTTTCCATTTGAGTACAGCAAGGTAAGCAGGCACACTGCTACGGAGTCTACACTTCAGGGTATTCTTGCACTGTTCATGTTTGCGGATAGTGAGTGCTTCATGAAATATGTAGATCCCAAACAAACTTTTTCAAACTAATAAATAATATGAGTCAAAATTTTACATACAAATGCTCCACAGGCAAGGTGATTCGTGGTTGGTCTGTAGGAGGAGTCCGCGTGTCCAGTTCCTGAGGTTGTTACACCACCTTCTGGTGGCTTTGTTAAAGCATTACAAAGTTAAAACTGTGTACCAACTAGTGATGTTCGATACCACAGATTTCCTTTCCGATCCGATAATGAGTAAAATTCAGGCTGGTATCGGTGATACCGATCCAATACCGATACTTTGTGCATGGTAGATCTAAAAAAAGTAGTGTATTTTAAATACATAGCTTAAGAATACAAGACATCGTAGTCACTTATTTAGCTATTTATTTTAAACTTTAAACTAAAAAGGTAGCGGCCTCATTCACAATATAGCCGAGCTATTACAACAACAGAAAAACAAGAGTGTTTGAAAAAGGTGTTTCCATCACTAAAAAAAGATCATAAGTAAATAATAAAACCATTAGAATAATTATCAGAATAATAAACAAAAATAAGAACCACTATAAAAATGAAGGTTTGCATCTTAATTCACGTTACATGAACATGTTAACAGGAAAACACTTCAACAAAAGCATCCAACATTGACACTTTCCATCAAGTTTTTGTTAAGGAACAACAGCATGTTTACTGTCTTCCCCTTAAGTCTGTTACGTTTTTTGCTCAGAACCTCTCCTGCCTTTGAAAAGACTATCTCTTCTGGTACAGAAGTGGCAGTAATTCCCAGGTATCTCACTGCTAGTTAAGGTTTGGTCATGTTCTTTCCACCAAACCAGTGCATCCCTGTCTCTGGGAATCACTTTTTCTTCTGAGTACCGACGTACTTCAATGAGCACATCGCTGGTAGCTGACCGGTGATGTTGTCCTGACAAAACCTGCATGTCAAAATCAGTCCATATGCCTCCTTTTAATATAGCTGAACCTGAGGGGGCAGAAGGCCCAGAGGAAGAAGACCTGAGGTAGAGCTAACGGTGGCTGTTGAGCTTGGGGCTAAACTGGGAGCTGCATGTCCTGTCTGATAGACTTCCTGTATTTCAGAAAGGAGACGCTTTTTCATTACCTCCACATTGTCTTTGTCTCAAAAACCAAGATGTTTAAACCTAAAATCCAGAAATGTACTGGCAGCTAGACAGTAAATGCTCTCAATACCCCTGAATCTGCGCTGACATTGCTGTGCCAGTTGTGTGGCAAGGGAGCTGCCTTGACGTTCACAGGCTGCTACAGCCCTGTGAAGAAGTGACACAAGCGGAATCACTTTGGAGACTGAAACGTACTTTTCAGATGAAACTTCCTGTGTCACTTCTTCAAATGACCGTAGTGCATCAACTGTTTGCTTGATGAGGGATAATTCTCCCTCATCTAAGCACAGGGTGTTCCTCCCTAAAAGGCAGAGGGCTGTGGTCACAGCTTCCTTTTGCTCAAAGAGCCTCTCCAGCATGTATGAATGAATGAATGAATGAATTTTTTTGAATGAATGAATTTTATTTATTCACACAATACCACTTGAAACATAATACAGCTGGGGAGGTACAAGATTAATTGGGTAAGGTGAATGGGTCCCCCAAAGAAGCTAAAGAAAGCTTATAGGTGGGGGCCCATGATTCAATTTATAGTGGTAGCACAGAACTGTAAAGTACACAATTACCACAAATTATAATGACTAGTTGCTCACGAGAGACACACCAGTACAAAACATTACATACACATACAATCATACATCCCAGTAGTCCATGAAAAAACGTTTTTATATTAGATGTAGGTTGATAAGAAATATTTTTTAGTTGTCTTTTAAAGTTGGAGATATAGGGCAACACCTTGAGGCCATCGTCAATCCCATTCCAAATTTGCGGCCCCCTATAGACCACACTCATACTAGCACGCACATTTTCCTGATATACGTGGTTTGATTCTCGTATGGTGAGTGTGCTGGGGGCTGGTGATAGGAACAAGACTACTCAATCTAGAGTTCAGTCCGTTGACAATTTGCAACATAAGGCAAGCATTATGGGATGCATTTAGCTCAGTTAGTCTTAGTACCTCAAAACGGTGGAATAAAGGTTTAGTGGGGGAATTTATCTCTGACCAGGATAGAGCCCGTATGACTTTCTTTTGCAAGGAAATAAGTTTTTTGAGATGGCTGGTGAAAGTGTTACACCATATCACATTGCAATAGTTAAGGTGTGGTCTGAAGAGAGTTTTATATAAAGTGAGAAGTGCAGACCGAGGTAGAAAATGTCTGATCTTATAAAACAAGCCAACATACTTAGACAATTTACTTACAAGATACTCGATATGACATTTAAAGCTAAGAGAGTCGTCAATGAGGACCCCCAGGAATTTAGTGGAATACCCTCTTTTTATCCCCTGCCCATTTATCCTAATCAGGCAGTGATCGACGTTTTTATATTTTTTACATGATTTGAATAAAATGTAATTAGTTTTGCTCACATTTAATGACAGTTTATTACATTTGAACCAGTAGTCCACTTTAGTTAATTCAGAGTTTACTATATCTTGTAGAATATATGGGTTCCTGTGTGACGTAAACAAGTTAGTGTCGTCTGCAAAAATAATTTTATGAAATATATTAGAGGAGTTTATGAAATCATTTATATAAAAAATGAATAAGAGTGGCCCTAGAATTGAACCCTGGGGGACCCCACAGGTCATGGGCTGATAAGTGGAGTTGTGATCATTGACATGGACATACTGTTCCCTCTCATATAAATAACTTCTGAACCATTCAAGTGTTTGACCTCTGATACCATAGTGGTAGAGTTTATACAGTAAAATATCACAGTCAATGGTATCAAAGGCTTTTGATAAGTCCAGGAAAATACCAACACCACATTTCTCTTCTTCAATGCAGTCATGTATTTGTTCTATTAGATCGCGTATTGCCATAGAGGTTGTACTCTTTTTCCTGAAACCATATTGAGAGGGAACAAGAATATCTAGTTTTTGAAGATAGCCACTGAGTCTGGTGTGTACCACTTTCTCCATTACTTTGGAGAAAGTGGGTAGAATTGATATGGGCCGATAATTGTTCATATCATTTCTGTCACCCGATTTAAAAATTGGAATTATTTTAGCAATTTTTGTCATTTTTGGTACAGTATCTGTAAGTAAAGAGAGGTTGATGCAGTGAGCCAGTGGCTCTACCGGCGTTGAGGAGGAGCAGGTCCTCTCGCCACAACACAAGATCCAATCACATGCAATGTGTGGTCTTCTAACATAACGAACAGAGCGTGAGTGTTGTATGGTCCTTGGTGTGTCTCTAAATCTCAGCCCTGGGTCTGCCTGGTTGACACTTTCTGCTTTTCCTCTGGCCTTTGACTCCTCAAGACAGTGACTCCCTAAATGAGCACTATGAAAGAGCTTTTGATTATCAAAACCAAGTTGAGATAAGAACCATGGTTAAGATGGGGTAACACTCACGTGGTCAGGTTATAAGCGCTGCCGAGCAACCATCTGTTCCCCTTACCTACCTAAGGACATCCGAAACACCAGCTAAGACCATCGGTGCTTTGTGTGATAAGTGGACTACTGCCAGGAATGTTCAGCGTTGATCAGACGGAGTGCTAGTGCTGGCTTTCTATCAGGTGTGAATGTGTGTCACTGCCCTTCCACCACATCAAACTCTAATCATGTCATGTATTAAACCTTGAACCTCAGTATCTAATAAAGATCAGAGATAAAATGTTATAAATACAAAAGGTTCAATAGTACCTTCTGATCCTGTATCTCCAGTCAACATCTTCACTGCAAATCTAATAATGCAAATGTAGTAATGACAACTACAAAAAGAAGGATCTTTAATTCCATATTTTAGAAGTGCAACTTCTTTTCTGTGGGTTTGTTCCGATGGAATGTTCACACTAACCTGGGACGTCTTGTTCTAATGTCAAAAGGAATGGCATGTCTTCTGGAAACCCAGATGTGACCGTTTGCCCTGCAGTGACAAGCAAGGTGAAACTTGTCGTACTGCTCACCACCAAATAACTCAAACATACCCCGGAGCCACGCAGCGCCAAGATCTGTCCCTATGGAATATAAACCATGAATGAATGAATAAAGTTGTTGAAACACTAAAGTTTTACTTGTATGCACAGTTAGAGATTATTGCTCACATTACATTTACATTTCTGCCGTCTAGGTTCTCTTTCAGATACTGTTTTGTCTGTACGAAGCGGTTATAAATACAACGTTAACGAGCACTTGCATACTGGAAGCACAAAGCAGAAGACACAAAGGCAGAGTAAGTAAAGTTTGATTGACTAAGTTCAGGCAGGGGAAAAGCAGAAGATCAGTCCATGAGGCAAACAAAACCGACGAGGGGCAGGCGGAGAATCCGAGGTTGGAAAACTGGCAAAAATAGTTGGAATAGATCTGGACTAATAAGTAACAAGGTAACGCTACAGCAAATTACACCAGACAATCTGCAGTGAACAAATGAGCGGACCTTAGCAGTGAGGAACCATGAGGGCAAGGGCTGCAGAGGAGATAGGATGAGACGCAGGAACTGAACCAAGGTGGGACAGGATGACAACAACCCAAGATGGAAGACAACAGCAGGAAGACTTCATTTTCCATTTGAGTACAGCAAGGTAAGCAGGCACACTGCTACGGAGTCTACACTTCAGGGTATTCTTGCACTGTTCATGTTTGCGGATAGTGAGTGCTTCATGAAATATGTAGATCCCAAACAAACTTTTTCAAACTAATAAATAATATGAGTCAAAATTTTTATTCTTCTTAATTTATACAAATGCTCCACAGGCATGGACATACTGTTCCCTCTCTCTCGTAAGTAAAGAGAGGTTGATGCAGTGAGCCAGTGGCTCTACAATGACATTTGCAATGGCTTTCATAATCTTACTACATATTCCATCTGCACCTGCGGTATATGAGCTCCTCAAGTCCAAAATGATCTTGAGGAGCTCAGTACTATCTGTTGGTATCATAAAAAATGAGTCAATGTAGCTACCAGAAAGAAAATGCTTAAAGTTCACATCCTGTGGTTGGTTTATCTTCTCAGCCAGGTTTGCACCTATTGTAGCAAAATGATTATTAAAACTCTGTGCAAGATCAGCTTTTGCGTTTCCAAAGTCAGGCAAAGTAGTAGGTTTGTGTCTCTCCTGTTAAGGACTTTTTTTTAACACATTCCATGACCTCCTGCTATCCCCCTGTGAAGCTTGTAAAAGTTCGATGTAATGGAATTTTTTACGCTTTCTTATGATCTGCGTTAGTTTATTTTTGTAGGAAATATATTTCTCTTTAGTCAAGTTCGAAGGATTTTTGATGTAGGATTTGTAAAGCCTACTTTTATATTTAATAGACTTTAAAATTCCTGTTGTAATCCAAGGATTCTGGAGGGTAGTACTGCAGTTGATAATCCTCTCAGGGATTGTATCCATGATGGATTCTTGTATGATCTTCATCAGGCTGTCATATCCCGTATCATGTAAAACACGGAACACTCACAAGGCACCTTGTGAGTGTTGCTGCTCTTGGGGAATCATCTTTAAACGATTTAAAATCACAGCACAAAATTAACAGGGGGGCTACACTGTACTCAAATCTTAATCTTATTGTTTCAACTGTGTATGTATGTATGTGTGCATGTAATTACTTCAAATAATTTCACATCACAATATGCCACTTTTAGAAACTTCCGTTCCGCCATTGTCTCTGTCTGAGAGAGCGAGCAGCAGCGTCAGCGTGCCACTGCGTTTGCGTATTAGGCACTTACCCAGGCGGAAGAAAAAGTAGTCCCTACCAGCGGCGTGTCATTTAGACAAGACCTGAATAGTTTAGTTGCTTTCCACCAAATTCCTGTTAATGATATACATTACTTCAAATTACTGAAGTATCAAAAGTATCGATATTTTCATTTATTAAACGATTTTAGAGCATACAGATGTGGTATCGGAAGTTTCGATGTTTCAGTATCGATCCGCACATCACTAGAGGAAGACCCTCACCGGTCTCCATGGCGACGCGGGGGGTCACGCCCACCGGAAACGATCTCTAAAGTGCCAGCAGAAAAATGAAAAGGCGGATCTGCCATCTTCTTTATTGAGTGAATTCCTCGCATATTTGACTCGACTTATGCGTTTTGAATGCCACAGTCGAGCGGCTGAGGCTCCAGGCGGGCATGACGGCACACGACCAGGCAGTGCGCGGACCGAGCGGGACACCTCGCGGCGGCCCAGAGGAGACCGCGTGAAGAGCGTCCCGCACCCCGCCGACGAGCAGCCGTCCTTGCTAGCGACACGCGACCATGGAGGTCTACCGCGAGTCCACTTAGGCAGCGTCGCCGCTGAGCTCCCACCACCGACGAACCACAGCTCCAACATGCCCGACCGGCGGTGCTCCACTCGGCTCTCGGTGGCCTGATTGACGTTACAGGCCTGCTTTTTCCATTGGGAAGCTTCTTGGCGGGGGAAAGCAGGCCGGCTAGCACCGCTAGCGTTCGCCTCTGCGGGCTCTGGCCGTGCGGACCGGTCCGTGCCCACACCCGTAACACGGCCGGCCAGCAGCGCGAGGACTCTTTTCCACTCTAAGAAGAATTTCATGGGATTCCTATCGGGGAAGGAGAAGCGGGCCTAAGCCAAAATGGTGCACTGGAGGCGGCTGCTGCGAATGTCCAACCGATCGTTCCTGGCCTTCATATTCTTCTTCTCCATGTCCACCACTTGTCTCTACTTCATTTATGTGGCTCCTGGAATAGGTTCGTTACTGGAGGCTCACACCAGCCGCCTCGCGAGGCCGCGGCCAATGTCATCGTGTCGGGATTAACGAGGCTAAAGGACGGAGCTAACCGGCTAACTACACGCAGCTCTGTGTGTGTGTGTGTGTGTGTGTGTGTGTGTGTGTGTGTGTGTGTGTGTGTGTGTGTGTGTGTGTGTGTGTGTGTGTGTGTGGGGGGGTCTATGGTCTATGGTCTCGCTGGCTGGATGAACTGGGCTCAGGGTCCGGACCGGGTCTCTACTGCTCCCGCTGTGTCCCAACGTGGTTCAGTGCTCCGCGTCTCGAACTGTGTCCATTGTTGTTTAAAATGAGTGCGTGTTTCCGCCCTGTGATGTGAGAAGTATCCGTACGATAGTACGCTCTGTGTGGACCAGAGGACCCGGGACACTGGATGTAAGTGACCCCGAGTGCCCTCCCATAAGTGAAGCTCTGTGCGGGCCTGAATGCTTCTGGCTGGGCGGGTTCTGTGTTGCTTTTGTTGACGTGACATCTCACCGGGGTTTTTCTTTTCTCTGGGCTCACATGCGGGAGGAAAGAAGTGTGTCTGCGCTGCTTCTGGCCACCAGCAGTAGTTGTGTTCGGGAGGAGAAGCCCGTCCGGGCCGTGTGGGGGCCGCTTGCTCCATGCGGGTCAAAGGCTTTTCTCCGCTGTGTCTTTGGGCAGAAGAGCTGTGGGTGTTAGGAGCTGATGACTGGCCACAGAAGACTAGAAAGGTGATGTACGAGCACATGATCGCGGTTGTGTTGCTGGTAATGGGGTGTTGTGTTGTGTTTGCTGCTGCTGTTGTACTGACTGCATTGGATTTAAGTAAAGTAAATCTCCGGTCTTATTCGTATTTACTACCCAACGGCCTTTGTATTACTCCCTGCAAAGACAACGATCACTCTTTTCTTAATTTGAATTTCCTGCACAACTTAAACTGTGTGTGTTGGTTTTAAAGCTGTGGCTTTTAATCCTGACAAACTACACAGTAGCCGACCGTGTAAATTATAACACTTGTAGTCCATTTAAAGTCTGAACGTATGCTTCTATCCTCTTTTAAGAGTTTAGCATTTTCTACTTTCCCAATTTCAGTTAACTAAAAATGCTCGGTGGAAAAACACTCAATTAATTATTCCCTTTAAAATGTATTTTAATAAAAAGTAATAAAGTTTAGTTTGCATACAATTTTTCCTAATCTTTAATTTTTTAAGCATTTGTGCAACATAGTGCAAAAACTAAACCTCACTTCCAGCTTTCAAAGATGGATGAAAAACATGGTTCATAAAAACATGATATATTTTGAATAATATCTAACGTCCAAGTAGTGCTGGTAAACGACTCGGGGTGGACGTGTCCATCAGCCCTTTCTGTCTCCACCAGGTTTCTACGGTAAAACCAAGGAGACAACTGTCCTTGGTCGTTAAATACACTGGACTTAGTGTGACGTTTCCCTTAGTTTCCCTCTTCAAAAAAGAATTCTGCAGCAACGTTAAATAATTCTACTCATTGGCTTGAGTTACTTATTACTTGAGTGTCCATGCAGGGAGAAGTTTGTCCCCTATAACACCAGCTAGTTCCAATCAACCGATGCATCTAGGCAGATCAAAATAATGATGCTTCATTCCTTAACATTGACCTTTAAGCCGTTATTCTGAAATGTCAAAGTTTGGTACATTAGGTGATTTTTAGAAATGTGTCCTTCCAGGAGTGGAATGATCCCTCTGGACAGTCCTTTGAGGCTCTGCTTGTCCTGTGAATAGTTGACTTGTCATGCTTGGAGTACATATTGATGAACGGGACGATTCTATCATGCTGTGTGGATTGGATTGTTGACATTTGAGCTGTTTGTCTGCTCGCCTCCCCAGCAGAGACAAGAGGCTGGTCAGCCCCGCTGGTGGACTGACCCCAGGGTCATGGCAGCCAACCCTGAGGGTGTAAAGGCGGTAACCTCCACAGACCACGAGCAGGTCATTGGCCTCCCGTCACCAGCATGCTGGTGTGTCATGCTGCACCCTCCCCTGAAGAAAGCTCTCCTTCCCCCTCGGTCGGCGTGCGTGCATCACTTGTGTTTTGGTCACTGGATGATGACCTGAAACTGCGTTAAGAAGCTCTCGTGAACCACCGAGGAACTGTGAAGCATAAAACGTGCAGATCTATCGGAGCCCTGTGGTCTTATTAATGCAGGAACACTTCCTACACACACAGCCACTCTGCATGTTGTGTGCGTGTTCATGGTTGGTGTCGTTACACACGTTTGAATTACTGGTTGACCAGTGATCTTCCACAGCAGCAGACATAAAAATAGCCGGTGTCATGAAAGGCGTGTTACCTCAGGTATGGTCTGTTGGAGCCGATGGGAACTATCATGCTGTGGTCCGGGACCACCTCTGCCACGCCGTCTTGTTTCTGTAGTCGGCTTCCACTGTGAACAGGGGATTTTGGGCTGTTTGACGCAAAAAGGATAAGGTCATCATAGACCATCCAAAGGGCTGTTGGTTTGCTTCTCAGTGGTCAGCATTTCACTGTTGCTTCATGTTGAACCACATTGTGACGGTGGAGTTGTGATGTACAATAAGCGAGTGTTTCTCTTACTCTTCTCCTTGTGTTTCTGTCAGCCAACACGTACTTCTTCATGGTGCAGGCTCAGGGCATCATGTTGAGGGACAACGTGAGGACCATCGGGCAGATGATTCGATTGTACACCAACAAGAACGGCACGCTCAACGGGACCGGTGAGTCCTACACAACTGCTCCTCCTGTGGGGCAAGACGGCGCACGAGGACAATTTGATGACTAAAACAATGGCGGTTTTTAATTTTCAATTTTGAAAAGTTTGAAATTAATATCAAAATATTTGTGATGCGGCGCATTCGTTATGTGAAACATTAGTTGATGAAGCACAAACAATTTAAACGAAAGGCGCTCCGGATTATAAGGTACCAGTTATAATAACCAGTATGGATCAAGCGATTAACCAATGATACATATGTATCAATTGGTTAATCGGTTGATCCATACTGGTTGTACACGGCGCTCAAGCCGCTCTGCCAAACACGCCAAAGCTACGACGGCGAGATGCTGAGCGGCGCTCAAGCGCGTGAGATATGGAGCTGCTTTCAGGGCGCGTCGGAGAAACAAAGCTGTCGTTCTCGCCGAGCGCTTCATGAGATTAAAGAGCGAGAGACGGCGCCCTTTTCTCTACAGTAGCTGAACCATCTTAACGGGAAAATAAGTTATTCTAAAAGCAGCCGAAGATTTAAGGCGAGGATGGCGAGGGGGCGGCGGGAGCGGACGCACCTCGTGGCATCGATCAGACCCTGAAAACACCGTCTCTACCTCCCCACCCGCCATCCACCCGCCATCCACCCGCCATCCACCCGCCATCCACCCGCCCCAAAGCCAAACGTTTGACTGCAGTATCTTATGCGCCTTGTTGTGCGGAAAACACGGCACATGAGCTCCAGAGAAAATGGTTTACAAAACATACATTGTTGGTTCAAACATTTTTAGTGGGTTAGATTCTTAAGGTCATTTAATCATCCCTAGTTTATGTTTTGATCAGAGTTGTGATTAAAAGGTTTGGGTGGGCCGCAAAATCTTTTCAGATTCCAAAGTGGGCCGCGGCATCCTTGAGTTTGGGAACCGCTGGTCTGGGGAAATTCAAGACCTCATTAAGGATCAGAAAGTACATGAAGCTACATTCATTTATCCGAGCACGTGCTGAAGACTGCTGAATGTTTATTTTTGATTTGTGAAATAATCCGTCACATGGGAACAGCTCTTTGCCTTCAGGACTTGTCCTCTCTGTACGACTGAAAGAAAAGACAAAACGCAAACTGACTGAAGGTCAGTTGGTAAATCATCGCCAGGGAGCCCTTTGTTTCTCAGTGCTGTAAACCACTTGCTAATCGGATTATTAAATAGTATTTCTACTGCAGATATTTCAATATAATACCTTCTGTTTGAATAACCGCCATATAATGCTCCTGGATCAATAGCGTGTAATAAAGGTGCATTTACATGACTAGCTCCTAAACATGGCTGTAGACAGCACCTCGTGTGGCGGAGCTAAAGGACTGGATCAGCTCCATCACCACCTAAACCTCCATGACAGCAAAGGAACTACTAAAAATGTGCTTCTGAGCAACAAGTAAAGCGGAGGTGCTGTGTTTGCTGTCTTGGACCTGACGGTGCTTTTTGCTGCAGACTACCCTGACGGGAGTAACTCCAGTGAATACCTGGTGCAGCCGACCACGTACCTCCCTGAGAACTTCACCTACGGCCAGGACGGACCCTGCCCCGAGCGCCTGCCTTCGATGAGTGAGTACACCGGGGTGGGGGGGCGGTGCTCTCAGGGCCCCCCCCTGTGTGCGAAGGAAGGCTCTTCCCAGATTTCTCTTTTCAAAGTGCGGTTGAGGCGTCGGCAGAAAGCCGCAGTGCTTCTTTCTGCTGACGCCATGTAAGCGTGGCGTGATCTCTCCACAGAGGGCCTCATGGAGGTGAACGTGACGGAGATCCCTATGGAGGAGATGGAACTGAAGTTTTCCAAGGTTTTTGACATTGACTTTGGAGGCCACTGGAAACCAAAGGACTGCAGACCTCGCTGGAAGGTGGGTCCAAGCATCCAGTGACTAGTCATTCTTATCCTCCTTTCTCTTGGATTCTCACTCTCAAATTGCTCCTGTAGGTGGCGTTCCTGATTCCATTTAGAAACCGCCATGAACATCTGCCCATCCTCTTCCAACACCTCATCCCCATGCTGCAGAGACAGCGGCTGCAGTTTGCCTTCTACGTCATCGAGCAGGTACTGTGTGTGCTCTCCAGACGCCATGTGACGCCGGCCTCTCTGTGTATCACGTGTTCAGCCTTCTATGCGACAGCACATTAATTCAGCCCGTCACATCCATACTAAGTCCCTTTTTATTCAGGAAATGCTTCCTGAAATCATTCTATAGTATAAACCAATCTTTTCTACACTAGAAAAGTGTCTGTGTGAACCACTTCAGCTCAACGCCATGCAAACACATCACACTACAAGAATGCGCTTTTCTCTTTAGCGGTTGAAAAATAGACCGTTTCCTCAAATGCTAATGCCTTTTGCACTGCATGAGTTCTAGCACACGTGAACTGCCAGTGTATCACATGTAGCACATGTTGCGTGCACCTTTATCTCCGAACCGACGGACTGGCCCGTGTTTGCGTGTCGGCCCTCTGTGTCCAGAGGGACGACAGCTATGTCGGCCATTTGTCGCCCGCATATATAGCGACTTGCCTCTCCCAATCAGTCCATTTGGGGGACGCATCTCCTCTGTCCTTTGCGGCACAGCATATCCCAGCATGCAGTGCGGGCCGACGAGGATTTAATTTATTCCGGATGGAGGCGTGTGATTGGACAGCGCGGAGAGTTCACTTTTAAATGTAACGTTAAATAATGGAAGTCACTCGAATATCCACCGATGGAAATAATAATATAGAACATCACGTGACGTTGTGTTTTTATACACACAAGGCCCTTACCTGACATCTTTAATATCTTGAGGTTAAATTAGTGAGAGCCTGTGCATACAAGTTACCAAATGTGTTTGCTTCTGTGTTTTTTATTGATGAATGAATCTATCTAAAAGTGTATGGCTTAACCGATTTGAGTTAAAATGACTGTAAAATGTTCTTCTCTCAGCCTGAAGTTAGTCTAGCGCCCCCTTCATGTACTCCTCACTCATACAGTGCGCCCCCTGCAGGACAGATTAGGCATGGCAGCTATTTATAATATAACTAACCCTCCCACTGCAGACATGCGTGGCCTGTGCCGTGGTTGGGTTCTCATGAGGGTGCAGCTGGTGGGTGCGTGCACCTGTATGTACTGGAGTGTCCTCAAAGCTCTCAACTAGTGTGACAGTAGATGACGGAAATGTTGTGTCACTGCATGGATACCCGTGGTCCACATCCTCATGGAGAAACGTCTACCGCTGGTCCTGAAGCAGAGCGGTCGCCCTCTATACCCAAGTAGCAGGCTCACTGTGGGAGTGTGTGTGTGTCTCAGAGTGGGAGCCAGCCCTTCAACAGAGCCATGCTGTTCAACGTGGGGTTCCTGGAGGCCATGAAGGACCTGGACTGGGACTGCATGGTCTTCCATGATGTGGACCACATCCCTGAGAACGACCGAAACTACTACGGCTGTGGTCAGATGCCGCGCCACTTTGCTGCCAAGCTGGACAAATACATGTACATGTGAGTGTAGATGGCTGTTAAGAACATCCGTTGCATGTATTTACATATGTGGGCATGAATGAGAGAACATGATCTGTGTGTGCTGCTTTTCTCAGTCTACCGTACAGCGAGTTCTTTGGTGGTGTGAGCGGTCTCACTGTGGAGCAGTTCCGCAAGATCAATGGCTTTCCCAATGCATTCTGGGGATGGGGAGGAGAGGATGATGACTTGTGGAACAGGTGAGTGTACGAGAGCAAATGATCCCGACCTTTCATATGGTTCATTTATCTCCTCTTGGTGGGGAACAAGGGACCTGCAGATGAGTAAGAAGACATTGTTGTCATAGAAACTGCTTTTCCAGACCTAATGCATATGGGGAGAAAGTAATCTAAAGGACCGCGTGACGCCTTCTTCATGTCCTCGAGTGATGTCACTTGAGTCTGAAAACAAAACGTTTGGAAAGCAGATAAATTGTGACGGTGGGAAGTTGAGGTGTGAGAAGCTAAGATGCATCTGTTACAGAACATGATGACCAGTTTAGTTTCCTTTCAGTTTGGTGTCTCCACTGTGTTAGCGGAGTGTTTCACTCCTCTGACCTTCTCTCCCCCGACCTTCTCTCTGACCTTCTCTCCCCCGACCTTCTCTCCCCCGACCTTCTCTCTGACCTTCTCTCTGACCTTCTCTCCCCCGACCTTCTCTCTGACCTTCTCTCCCCCGACCTTCTCTCTGACCTTCTCTCTGACCTTCTCTCCCCCGACCTTCTCTCTGACCTTCTCTCTGACCTTCTCTCCCCCGACCTTCTCTCTGACCTTCTCTCCCCCGACCTTCTCTCTGACCTTCTCTCCCCTGACCTTCTCTCTGACCTTCTCTCCCCCGACCTTCTCTCTGACCTTCTCTCCCCCGACCTTCTCTCTGACCTTCTCTCTGACCTTCTCTCCCCGACCTTCTCTCTGACCTTCTCTCTGACCTTCTCTCCCCCGACCTTCTCTCTGACCTTCTCTCCCCCGACCTTCTCTCTGACCTTCTCTCTGACCTTCTCTCCCCCGACCTTCTCTCTGACCTTCTCTCCCCCGACCTTCTCTCTGACCTTCTCTCCCCCGACCTTCTCTCTGACCTTCTCCCCCCCGACCTTCTCTCCCCCCGACCTTCTCTGCTCGGCGTTGTAGTGCTGACTCTGTTGAGTAGTCTGTTGACCTTGATGGACCAGGAGTCCAAATGTGTGTGAATAGTGGAAAGTGCGGTCCAGTTTTTTACTGGTGGCCAGACCATAACATGTTCTACTCTTCTTCTGATCACTACAGGCTCACTGTGGTGTCCATGGTAACCTACTGAAGGTATCTGCCCAATGTAGATTAGACCCCCTCCTCCCCCACCCCAGTGATTCTATTGTTTTCCCTGCTGTACACGTGCAGATATAAGCAGACAATAGCCGTGTTTCTGTCAACCTCTTTGAAGTAGCCCAGCAGAAAAGACGTATGGACACATGTGGTGCAAACTTCCTAAATCCCAACAAACGTCTTGTTGCACTTAATGTGTACAAAGACCTGTTTGAGCTTCTTCCTGCTCATCCAACATAAGCTAAACGTTCCAGCTTGACCAGGGACAAACTGGCAGCAAAGCAGAGCGGGAGTTTGCTTTCTGAGAGTGGGAGGGTCTGGACTGATGGTCCGATGGTGCTGGTGGCAGCTGGAGTTCTGCAGTGCTCTGTTTCTGAGGAGCGATCACATGCTCTGCGTCCGCCGATTAAATGATTTTGCAATGACCTCACCGTCGCCCAAAATGCCTCCCCTCTGTCTGGTCTCCATCCCCTGTGCTCAAGCAGTCAGCATGGAGGGGGGCGTGGCCTCCCCACGCCAGTCCAGTGTTCTAGTACAAATAGTACTATTCTGTATTTCACAACAGTGGCACGGACGTGACTTGAAGAGCCGCGTGCGAGTACGTTCATGGTGAGCGGGGGTCCCGGGGGCCGGTGGAGGGGTGCTGGTTGAACTCTGGTGCTCTGCTTGTTTCTCTCAGGGTTCACTATGCCGGTCTGAATGTCACCAGACCAGAGGGAGAGATCGGCAAGTACAAGTCCATTCCCCACCACCACAGAGGAGAGGTGCAGTTCCTCGGGAGGTAAGAGGCAGCCCTGCATCTGGTTTGGTCCTGATGGAAGATGTGGATCGAACATTGATGCCTCCTACTTGTTTTGTCTTTAAAGCTAGTGTGAGTGGAGATGGAACTTCCTTTAGATGCACACGTGTTTCTTGTTCCTTATGGTTGGATGCAGTAAGTCGCTTTGGATAAACGCGTCAGCTAAATGACCTGTAAGCAGGTGATAGTTGACGCCTCTCCTTCCTCTGTGCAACACTGACTCCCAGTAATATGATACTGTTATGTCATTCTCCTTCACTATTTTATAACAATCCAGTACAAGTTTAGGTATTTCATTTGACCAAGTTTAAGCCTGCTGAATGATCCTGAGATTCACACACTGATATCTGATCTGTGTATTAATGTTCCTCTTGTTGGTTCTGATCTGAATGAGACTTGTTAGTGAGCTCTGGGCCCGTTGGATAACCCATGACCTGTGACTGTCCGCAGGTATAAACTGCTCCGGTACTCCAAAGAGCGCCAACACCTGGATGGCCTCAACAACCTCCACTACAGCCCCCACACGTCCCTCAGCAGCCTCTACAAGAACATCTCCGTGGAGCTGAGCCCCGAGCTCGCCCCTATCGCAGACTACTGAACCCCCCCAGCTGGCCTCCCCGAGGAGGGGGGGCGCCGCACCATGCTGCCAAGAAGTCCTAGCGCGAGGCCAACGAGAAGACGTGTGCGTGTGTGTGTGTGTGTGTGTGTGTGTGTTGCTGCTGCATGTCTTAACTGCTACCAGTCGACCTCCGGGGTCTGAGGCTGGGGGGAGCAGCAGCGTCTCGCCTCTGATGTTTGCTGCGAAGCCTTAACGTGGAACCACAGCTCCCTCCGGCCGCGCCGCTTCCCTCCCCATGTCCCGCCGTCCCCTCCCAGGCCAGCAGACGAGCCCCGCCCCCCTCCCCATGGACGGTCGTCCCCTCCATGGGCAGCCGACGAGCCTCGCCCCCTGCCCTTTGAGAGGATCTTCCGCTTTCGTCTTCCTACAACCTCCGACCTTCTCAGATGTTAAAAGCTCCTGTTCTCCCCAAAAAACTTGGTCAGATCTTCTGTCTACTCTTGGGAGAAATAATCATCTGCCCCTATTCAGCATGAATTGCAGTCATTTGGACTTCTGTCTGTACTTACGAATTGTGTAGGGTATTTCTGTATTTTTATGATTATTCTTATATTCTAGTTAGGAAAATACTTTATCACGAACAAGTCTCTGATACTTTTGATTTCTCAAAGGGCTGAAAATCCCACAACTCCACACATCCTGCAGCTGACACTCCCATGCTCGTGTCCTGCAGCCGGCTCCCCGGGACTGATGACGGCACCCCTTAGCCCGGCTCTCCACGACTCGTTGCGACCCAAGGGATTAAAACCAATATTGTGGATTTCGTCCATGTCGCGTCATTGAATGCTTCTACACCCAATATCGAAACTCCTGTCTTTCCTGCTAGATCCTGGGCTAGTGCCTGACATCTC